AAGTTTGCAAAAAAAAAACCTCCTTGGTTGCCATAAAATAGAAAATGTACATGTAACAGGTACAGAAGGTTGCGGTATTAAGTTTAATTGATGCTTGTCTAGAGGAGAACCAGTTTAGGACCGGCCAGATCGTCATACAAGTCAACAACCTATCCCTTGTTATAAATCTCTTAAATAATAAAAATATTTTAGTTTTTACTCATGCTTGAATAATGTATAAAGTTCATCAATCTCTTGCGGCAATTAAAAAAGCAATTTTACAAGTCGTTTCTTTTTTGGCAGATATACACAAAATGTTATGTAAGACATAAATACGTTCAATAAATACTAAGAAGAAGTGAAATAAATATGTGTTATGCATAAAGCAGAATATTTTTTTTATGTATTTCCCCACTTACTAAAATGAAAAGTCATAGTACTTTTGCGATCACACTTTGTTTTGTGGACTGTTAAAGGCTGTTGATGATGATGATCGCAAAGAATTAAAAAAGGTTAAAGAATGAAGTATAATGGACATACCGTTATAACGGTTTGGATCTCGCGAGACTTTGCGGGATCCAAACCAAACCAAACGGGTATCTTGAAGAACAAAAATCCTGGTTAATTAGGGACGTTGACAAAGATTTTTTGTAAATTCTTTGTCAACGTGTCCCTAGAGAGCGAGACTCGAGCAAACTAATTTGGACGTTCGCTAGAATAGAATAAACTTTATTGTACTTCAAACTAATGACCATATACAAACAGCCTTATCGCTAAAAAACTTCTTACAGGCAACCTTTGGACCGAAAGAAGGAGCGTAAGTAGGCCATACTCAAGTTGGTCCGAAAACCTAGTAATGGTCGCGGAAAACCGTTCGAAGCTGGCACCACAGTACCGGTTGTTGTGGCAAAACTTTTGGGGAGGAATATGTCATGCAGTGGGCGTCTTTCGTCTGAGAAGTAAAAGAACCTTTGGATGTACAAATAGATTGTAAACAGACAAATTCAAGGTTAGTTTTGATATGGAGAAACTAAAAATAAACATAAAATACTATACACCAAACAGCATTTAATTTTAATAATTAATATTAGTTTAAAAAAATTAAAAACACTTATGGAACTAGCTGAACTAAGAAGTGAATATAATTTTCTGTAAGTTCAAAAAGAAAAATCATTTTATCGTAAAAATGCGTGGGGTGCTAGGTCTCAATTTTTGTAATAATATTTTTTTGACAGATATTGGTAAAAGTAAAGTTGTTACATCATAAAAATCTTAGAAAGCACCCTACGCTTTTTTTTCATTAAGACTGAAAAGTAAGTAAGTCACATATGTTTCAGCAGACAAATCTTAGAAGTTACGTAGCAAAAGACACTACCGTATTAAGGTATGGAAAAGCCGTTAATCCTTAAGATCCTGATCAGAATAATCGGCCCAATTTATCAAATTATTGGATTGTCATCGGTCCTTGATAAGTTACACACACAAAGATACATACATAATAAAAGCATTTTAAAAAGTGAATAACAAAAGCACTTCGCTAGCTCTTGGCTTAACTTGTCATTTTTTGCATATATTTTTAATACATCTCGACAAAAATAAATTCCATTTAAATTATATTCTTTTATTTGGAAAGAAATAGACCATTAACATTGTAAACATGTGTAAAACGTTTTTCTTACTAATGATTTTTTCAGGGTTCCGTACCCAAAGGGTAAAATGGACCCTAATACTCCAAGTCTCCACTGTCCATCCGTCTGTCAATCTGTCTGTCCGTCTGTCACCAGGCTGTATCTCATGAACCGTGATAGTTCCAACTTCTCAAATTTTCTTCTGATTAATTTCGTTGCGGGTTCCAAGACAGTTTAATTTCTTCCTGGGTCCCAAACAAAAAAAAAGTGATAGTTGAATTTTTACAGATGATGTATTTCTGTTGCCGCTATAACAAAAAATACTCAAAACAGAATAAAAATTTAAGGACATGTATGGGAGTGTATTTGCATACACTCCCATACAACAAACGTAATTTTTTTGCTCGTTTTTGCTCGATATTGACTGGCAACAGGTAGACGCTTGAAAGTACTTGAAACATTCACAAAATATTTAGTTATATATCCACTTTAAAAATAAATAATTAAATTTAAATAAAACAAATATTTCCGGAGGGCTCCCATACAACAAACGTGATTTTTTTTGCCGTTTTTATCGAGTCCGATTCGCACTTGGCCGGTTTCATTTTACATGTATGGAGTGAGGTTCACACCTGACACCTTTCGATCGAAATTACAACGCTTATCAATTTACGCAATTGCAGCTAGCACGATTATTTGGGCACGCCGTTATCGCGGCGGTAAGACCCGTTATGGAGGATTGGCTCGAGAGGCATCACGGAACCCTCTCATACCGGTTGACGCAGGTGATCATCGAGAAAGGATGCTTCGGAGATCACTTGTGTCTGATCCGCAAGGAGCCAACGCCTGAGTGCCACCACTGCGATGGCCGGAACGTGGACACAGCGTTCCATACGCTGGCAGAATGGCAATCGGAGTGGGAATTCTCTCGCTCGGTAACATGATTGCCGCCATGGTACGGAGCGAGAGTTCGTGGAACTCCACCGTCTCCTTCTGCGAGCAAGTTACGCTGGCAAAGGAGATGGCAGAGCGAGACGGTTTAGAACTCTCCCGGAGCGCCAGGCCCGGCAACGGGCCAGGTACCGCACAACTCAGGCGCCGGAGGTCGCAGAATGACCTCCGTCCTCCATAAGCGCAGGCCTGGGGGTGGTAGGTGAGGCCATCTGCCACCCTAGCAGAAGCAGGCCGGGGTGGTGGCGAGACGAGCTGAGCTGAGCTGACGTGAGCACAAAGGGGACAAAGCTAAACTTCCGCGACCATATAAGGCAAATATGTAAAGACGCTAATAAAGCTCTGGGGTTCATTATTAGGACTTGTTCTCAATTTACCAACACACAGCCTATTAAATTGCTCTATAATGCCTACGTACGTAGTAGACTGGAATATAATTCAATAGTGTGGAGCCCGCAAGAAAAAATATATACCCTTTCCATTGAAAGAATACAGCGTAAATTTGCCCGATACCTGTACAAGCGGGAGTATGGTTATTACCCTTTCTTGTTTCCTTCTATGTTTGTATCAGGCATGGTGGGCCTTGATACACTTGAGCTTAGGCGAAACTTTAACCATATTGTGCACTATTTGTTGCTAATTCACGATAGGGTAGACAATCCATCGGTGCGTGAATGCATTAATTTGTATGTACCAAATAATTACTTGCGCGGTTGTCGTCGCCATCACCGACTCCTGACTTATCCTACAACGTGGCGTCTCCCACAAGCTGTTAGTAGCCCCACGGGAAAAGCTATCCAACTAATTAATGTTTTTTTGCAAAGTAATGTAGATGCAGACATATTTTTTGACAGCTTACCCAAATTAATGCAAAATGTAATGATCTTTTTAAATACTAATAAATAACTGTTACCTATAATGTACTCTGTATAGCTATTAATATTTATTGACATCTTGTAAATTTTTGTGACATCTTATTGCTTTAATTCTTTATTTCATAACATTTTATTATTTCTGTGTGATTGTATGAGTTATTAATTATTTGTAATTTATATAAATAATTGAATGTATTGTTTTGTATTATGATCTGTGGTCTGTATATCTGATCCAATGTAGTATAGCATATAAGCGTTTTGGTTGTGAGACTGTGAGCTTGTAATGTTACTTAAATAAAATAAATAAGAAAATAAATAAAAATAAATAATAGGGGTTCCCACACAGGAGGGGGTCATTTACACGCCGTAGATGGCCCGAGGTACGTCGGGGTATCAGGGTTTTCCTTCCTAGGGTACACCTGGTTCCAATATTTTATGCTTGCAATTATAAATGCTGTTCGTTACTCACGGGGTCTGCTAAATGACTCCCGTAATATGAACTACCTGGGAATAATTTTTTGTAAAAAAAACAGTTGTGTAGGTATAATGTTTAATATGAAAATAAATTAAATATGTTGGAAATAAAATCAGTTGTAAAGTGAGATTATAAACTTCGAACAAGTATGTAAAACGAATGTAAACGACTAAGTGTTGTGACGGGTTAAGAATACGGAGTGTCACCACGCCTATTCATCCCGTGGGTGTCGTAAGAGCCGACTAAAGGAGCAAACTGCGCAGGACAACGGCACTGATGAAAAGGAAAACTTCAAACAAATCCTACACCAAGCATTCTGTCCAGCGTGGTATAGTAGGCCAAAACCTCCTTTCTAAGGAGATCCTTTTGTCCAGCTATTATTAAGCCTGTTGATGAATAAATACTTTTCTTGAATTTACAAGACTTTTCCGAGGTGGTTTTAAAAAATTCATGTTTATAAAACTTTTGTTTTTATTAACCATTTTGTTTAAAAATAAAAATTATTACATTAAAAGCACACATTAAAAACAGTCTTACAATAAAAACGAAACCTAAACAGTACTCGTGTAATAGTTTAAGTTAGACTAGATTTAATGGGTTTCACTGAGGTATGCATATTTGCACAGTTTGTCCCGTGTAAGACTATCCAGCAGAGTATCGAAACCAAATTAACAAAGCAAAATACTGCTGCTACTATCTTCATGAATGCAGCTGGTAATTTTTATTCTGTTTATTAATTTATTTTTTATTTCCAAGACAAGATCTTTTTTCTTCATGTGCCAATTATCACTTTAAAATATGTACTTTACTAAAAGTTGTGGACCGTATTATCCTCAGATTGTTTGTATGATCTGAAGTATTATCGGTGTGGGAAGCCACACGATCCTTTGCAGCTTAACAAAGTCTTTTTTGCTCAAAGCTTGGCAATTTATTTAATTTGCATTGCAATTTGTTATGTAAAAAGTAAAGCTAGTATTTGTTATGTAAACTTTGACATATCCGGCTACGACCTCCAGAAGGTCTTTGGGTTCTGTATGGTAAAGAGGTGCGACGAAGCGGGTGGGTCTTCTCTGGTATTGGAAGTGAAAGTGAATGAATGTCGGAGGCTTAATTAGAGAGGAGTGCTACGGCTGCGCCAGTCCCTCCGACACCGTCGCGCTATACACCTGTGCATCGCGTACCCCGTCGCACGCGCACCCGCTCGTCCGCACGCAAGCGCATCTTTCTACTTCAACCATACGACATTTCTCTGAGGTACGCGCTGCCTTCATGGACACTTTACTTCAAGTGTAAACATAATTATTTTACAATTAATGTGTGTGTACTTAATCTAACATTGCTATATTATAAACAATGCAGAGCATTAAATGATCCCGCTCAGTGAAAATGTGGTTTCCGCGTATTTCGTATATTTGCGGAAATTTTTGTAAAGAAAATATATTCTTGCAATCTAAGGTTGAGGAATAAATTAAAATATAAAAATTATGGTCTCGGCTTTTATAACTAAAATTATTTTTTTGTTAAGTTCATAGACATTCTGATTCATGGGCACTGATCATGCATCTTTAATATTATAAGACCAATTATTACCTATTAGTCTACATTTCGCAAAAGACGTGTTTAATTGTAAAAAAATACGTTTATTATAATTATATTTATTAAAACGACAACGAAGTTATTAGATTCTTAAATACAAGATAATATTTTAATTGTAAATAAGAACGGTAAATCAAACAAAGTCCCTACTGGAGACATTACAAACTCATAATAGAAATAAAGTCATACAACTTTTTATTCCTCTTAGATCTATTTGTTTTTTTTTTTTATTAAAACTTATATAACTCAAGAAACAAAAACGAATAAAATATGACATAACGAACCACTTTGTTTCCGCTTTTCGAATATACGAATTTAGTCGTGACATAAAGAATGAGAGGCGTTGAGACTTTCCGTCACTATAAAATGCGTCCCAAATCGACGATTTCTCGCACTGAGTAGCTTTTCACGCAAACATTTTACTCGAAGCAAGGAGGTCAGCGAGGCGGGTTTTGCTTTCACAAATACAACAAAATAAATTCATCTCACGTATTGATTGTCCTCGAGTGTTCGTGTTCTGCATAACTAAAAGAAAGCGAACTTGCAATACGGCCTCGCCCGTGACCACTTTCGTCAAAACGAGCGTACCACCAGCTGAGCGTCGCCGGGGCACTCGAAACGACGGCCACACCCACGTTATAGTCTCTTAATTGCTTTAGACATTTTTTATAGCTTTGTGAATAATACTAAGTAGGGAAAAATAATAATTTTGTTTGTTGCGGTACACAGATGAGCCGGCATATTTGCTTGGTGGCTGCCGCCTTCCTAGCAGCACTTTGCGTAGTGGATGCTCAGAGACGTCTCGCTTTACCAGACCCAAGAAGCTGCGCCAATAGTAAGTGTATTCATTAAGAGAGTAAGAGTTATTATAATTATTACTCAAACAATTTATCAGTCACAGTCGAAAAGGAAAGGAATGCTAAAAAATGCAGTAAAGTAAAGGACCTACGCTCCCAAATCTAACACAAAAAAAATTTAAACCCACAAGAGAATTGGAGATTGTGACCGCAACGTTTATTATCACTTGTCTATTAAAGCATAGCACATCCATATCCGAAAGCTTAAGTATTTACAAATCTAGGATACGATTTGTAAATTCATCATCATCATCAACAGCCTTTAACCGTCTACTGCTGGACATAGGCCTCTCCTTAGAAAGGAGGTTTTGGCCTACTATACCACGCTGGCCAGACGGGGTAAAAGATAGAGGTAGAATTCAGTTAAATATCTCCAACGTCTTGTTCTAAATTGTCTACTATGCAGGTTTCTGCTGTTTATTTAGGTCATAAACTCAATAAACAGCAGAACAAACAATAAACCTACGAGGTATCCTATAATCCTATGTATATAAAACTAGAATTTTGTTGGTTCTTACATTCTAATACCTGTAAATCTTCTATTAAGATGATTTATTTAAAATTTATTAAATTTACTAACATATAAATCCTTTTTAAAGGCAATGCATAATATTGTTAGATAAAGGACTGTAATTTATCTTTAAGATGTATCCTTATATTTTTAAAAAAATAAGTATTAATATAAGTATTAGAGATTTACAGCTTACACATCTGCTAAAAAAATATAGAAGATATAGTATATATGTAGTAGTACAATTTTTAGAATATATATTATATTCTATGTAGAATGTACTACATATATTAAGAAAATCATATTAAAGACTTACAATACAACCAAAGACTAAGTAGTAACTAAGAATACTTTATTGCTTTTAAATTCAGTGTTGAATTAGTGGAACATAAAGTATTGCCAAAAATGCCCTTTTTTCTGAGTATAACCCCTATATTATATTTTATAGGTTTAAGTCCAGATGTTAGCGGCACAAGATAAGTAGGACACCTGAAAAGTAGGAAAAAGACATCCAGAAAACTGTATCATATTGTAGCTTTCCGAACGTGTAGTGATTTACAGTAGTAGATCACACGAGTATGGTAGAGTAAAGGAATTATTATTTCTTTTTTGTATATATATTTTTTAAATATTAACAATGACACTTTGTATTTTAAAAAGGTTTAAATTTGTTCTTAAATATTTATTTATTTAAAAAAACGGATTAATATACATTTTTTTTACCACCGCGCCAAGGCAAACGCTTTATAATCGTGATGAATCGCACTCGTTGTGTTATGTGTATCCACGAGATATAGGATCAATTCTCTAGAATGGGAGTAGTAGGTATTTTCTAAAAAATATAAATAAACACGACAATTAATAATGAAAATGAAAAATGGTATACCACATTTTATTTCCGCTACATTTATTTTTTTATAGATCTTACTAAATTTCAGTCCCTATGGGAAATCCACGCGTGTTTCGCAATACAGAGCCCGCATAGAAGGCGTGGCGCCTCTCATGCGATGTCATTTGGGAGCGCACTCGCAATCACAATCGAACCTTGTATTCATCACATACTCACCAATAATGCGAACAAAGCTTCTTTGTGTCAGGTTTATAGGGCTTCGTACCTATTACGTACATTCTCAAAAATACCTGTAATAACAAACACAAATGTAGGTATATATATTATATTAATACAGAAAAAATTTATATGGAAACCTGTCCGGGTTTCGGTTTAGTACGACCACAAACACCGTGACACAAGGTATTTACAGATTTAGTGGTTTTTTTTCCCCTCTTCGTAACCTTAGTTAGGGTCAACTTATTCCTTGAAATAACCTGTCTTATATGTACATTGTAATGAGTTCAAATCGACCACTGTCTACTTTGTAGAACGAATGTCATTATTACTTCGAAATATAGAAGATATCCTATTAATTACGAACTTTTAACCAGAGCCTGAATCAATTTAAGGAATGCGTCGTAATGAAATGAAGGAGTGCATGAAAGAGGGTGTCGAGTGATTAAGAAGAATGGAAGAAGAAAATGATGATGATGGATGATGCAGAACAGCAATTTGCGTAGCGCACGCATACGGAGATGTGCCGTTGGCGGTAGCTGGCAAGCACAACTTTGTAGAAGATCATCGAATCATAAACCATTAGTAGTAATATATATGTAACTAGTAGATAGTAATGGGGCTGAATGAAGGACTGTCTCTTATAATGAAAAATGTCCTTTAAGAATTGCGACATGTGAAGGGTATGGTTATAACAATAAAAATGTTTGCTATCTTTTTAATCATAAATTATATACTAGTATTACGACATACTTATTCACGCACTGAAGAGAAAGCTCGTAATTAATATGAATATGATTCATAGGAGTTTCTTTAAATCAGTTAGATGATTTTTTTGCCTTCAATCCTCGTGGTAAACGTGAAATTTACAATATCAGCCACTTGGACATTGTGGTTGCTAGATTGGATTTAGATGGGTTCACAAAAAGGATATACGGAATCATTTTATAGAAAATTGACAAATGTGTAACAGCCTTGACTAAATTTTGACTGTTGATATTCAGTTTTTTACATCGAAAACACGTTGGAAATTTTTCTAATAACAAGTCTATTAAAAAGTACCCATTTGTTACAAGAGTAATTCTGCGCATTAATCTACCAATAAATATTATTAAACAATAACAGTATTAAATTCATAATTTTAGAAGTGTTAAATTGTGTAAATCATATCTTTTTGAATTCCATGTAACTTCAATCTGACGAAATTAGTAGATTTGTTATGCGGCACTTCTTAAGTGTTAAAATAGACATTTAAAGATTATTTTCTTCACACTTATATACCTAATTAAATGGAGAAGTACCTTAAATATATTTAGGTGGTATCGATATTTAAAATGTTATAACAAGCTGTGTTGTTGCTAGCTTTCACTCAGAAATGTGAAATAGCAATGCTCGTTTGCATGTTAGTCACATTCAAAGATAAACCGCAATTACATGTCTTCTTAGTCAGCAGCGTTTTTTGTTAACTTTGTGTTAGGAAGTTCCTCTTAGAACATATCCTCAATGGTTGCGTAATAGCACTTCCACGGAAAGCAATGACTATAGAAACATTTAGCAACGAGCATATATATAATTTTAATTTATCTATTCACGCTCAGCCATTCACTGTTACGTAAGGTGACATTCCTAAAATTACGCTATTCTACTGAAGATTCGTAAATAGTGCTGGCATACACAATATCTCTTGTCAAAATAGATAGATAACGTGGGCAAAATTTGGTGATGGACAGCAGGAAAGAACATATCTTACATCGCGCACTGGCACTTTCTACGTACCTTTTAGAGACTGCTTCATTTAACGATCTGATGATGGGTTCGTTTCTATTGCATACTCCGTAGTCATCGACCATAATGTCTCGCATTAAGGCGAGAGTTTAAATACCCACGCACAACTTAACGTGTTAATAAGGCTATTGTAGACGAATGACCCTAATTTAAATCCAACCATTCAGTGCTATTTTGTATAAATTTGAATTTATGGAATTGTTCAATGACTATAATTTATAGACTGAAATATTTTAAAAATTTAAATACAGTCTCGCATTAAATCAGCAAAAGAAAATTAATTCAATAATTTAATCAATAAACTCTAGTATTTATTGTGGTTTAGCTAAATACTCGCATTCAAGAGGATCTTCAAAAATAATAAAAAAACCTGTTTATGTAGGTTACATTTATATGTAGTTTGTATAGGTATGCATGCCGTTTTCTATTTTGATGAGGGCGCGGAGGGCAGTATGAAATTTTGAAATTTTCCACACCGACAGCGCACTGTCAACATAGCGTAGGTACCTATATATAAAGTTTAGTGATGGTTAGATTTAAAGTTTTTTGAATGGAATAATGTAGGCATGTTTGATTCTATCAACACTACAACAGTTGTATTGTTGATCGAAGCATGTTTGAGTTCCTTTTTAAATGAAAAAGGAATTTCTCCGATAAGATATACCAAAAACCGGCGTGCACAAAATTTCAATTTTTTCAATTTTTTAAGAGTGAAACAAGATATGCTATGCGATAAAAATTGGAAAATTAAAATATTTTAAGCCAAAACGAGATATTGCATCACTAAAGTCCTTTAGCTCATATATTCAATTACGACAAAAATCTGCAAAATAACATACATATATATTTTTTTAGCTAATTACTAAACATGATATAATGGTATGTCTAATAAAATATACAATATATTAGGTTTAAAATATACAATTAACGTAGGCTTTAAGAGTAATAAAACACCAATTATATTCAAGAAAAAAACAGTTTTTTTTGTATAATAGTATTTTTGTTTATTATAAAGTTTGTTATTGCATTTTCAAATAGATCCTCTGATTGAATATTCAAATAATGAGGTACTTGAAATAAAGGCAAGTCATTTCCTATTTTTACTTTATTGTACTGTTTTCCGAAAACAATTTCTACAAAATCTAATAACTAAAATTATCCGCAATTACTTAATTAATCCAAAATAATATTAAATCCGTAATCTCTGAAGGTGATGTCATTCATATATCTGTATACACATTCGGATCCGTTTCATATCCATAACATCCCTGGTCCGAGGAGTTTTACGGGTCCCACTATTAACTTTATGATACAGTAGCATACCAACCAGCTATAGATAAATAATTATGTATAAATCGCCGTCTATTACATTTACCGCAACACCTGTGTGAATCAGGACACTGCGATTTCGCAAACAACGAGTGAACGACAAGACGTTTTAGATACACACCATTTCGAAACGTCTAAGTGTCAGAGTCTGTCTGGAGATGTCGTCATGTTCATCTCAATAGGTGTACTAGTTTGTGCGGGTACTACCTAATCTTCTTCATTCTATTTTATGCAGAACGTGGTAAAGTTTTTATCTTTCCAAATGTTTACTTATTTGAATAAGTTTGAAAAGATATTTGAGAAATAAATTATAGTTTAAAAAACTAAAAAGAACACGCCTTTGTAACTAGCCGACGTTTTAGAGTAGATAGGTGAAAATCACGTTCAAAGATTCCGTCACAAAGATACATACCCAAGCAAATAAAAGCGTGTTAAAACGCAAGAAAAGTAATTTTGTATTTATAGTCAGTGTTATTATCTATATATGCGAAGGGTTAATAAATTAGTGGCATAGCTAACCTGTGTAAATATTTAATGTGTAAAGGGAAGTTTAGAGTTTAATTATCATAAATGTAAATAAATAAATGTTTTTTTTTCTGTGTAGGAGTCCGTCACTCGACGTACCGTGATGCCCGAGGAGTCCTCCATTCGTACTTCTTCAGTTGGGAGCACGCCCCTACTCGAAACTTAGAGGTAGACTGGCTTGACGCTAGGAACATCTGTCGCCGTCATTGTATGGACGCCGTCTCGCTGGAGACCCCACAGGTACATACCTATGTATATGTATGAACACACACAAGATTATATTTACAAGAACGAAAAAGAAACGATACAGTATTCATAATATAGCACTTTGCGAGGTCAAAGAACAATTGCATCAAGCAAATCTCGGTGATGGTAGATCCATCCAGCTAGCCTTGTAAGATAATTATCTCCATTAACACACATTATCATTGTGTCTGACACACACAAATAGGCCGCTCAGTATTTTATGTACCTATTCTTTTCCCTACCACAACCTGTCTGCAAAATGTGTGGCTTCAACCCAAAATAACAAGCTCAAAGCAATTTAATAGTCAATAGCAATTTGAGTTTCGTAACAACACGTGTTGTACTCACCACTACAAAGATGAAGGTATTTCATAATTATGGAGGAGCCTAATGACCAAATAGTTGGTGAACTTTCAAGGTATTTCGATATGCTTAATGATTACATTAAAAAGTATATGTACCTACGTGTCAACAGTCTAATTTATAAAAACCTCTTGTATCTAGTATTAGTACCCAAAATTACGTAGTATTAGATAATTTATTATATAGTCTGGTCATACATATCTTTTGTCTCGTTGCATAAAAACGTTAAGTTGGGAACAACTTTAACGTTGTTGTAATAAGTAATAACGTATGTAATAATCTATTGTTAACTGTCATCCGGGTAGACTACTTTATTAATAGCAAATACGTAAGTTATCTCAAAATCTGTTTCCGTGTTGTAACGTCTATTGTTATAAAGGTGTAAAAACCTTCTATCTTTTCCTTGGGAATATTTTTAACTTAAGAAAATTTTAAAAAATCTTTTAAATGGCACAATAAAACAACATTGAGTAATTAATCTGCGCGTATGTTTATATAAATATTCATAAGTTTAGATTTGTAGAGCGTTGAAGACTTCGCGAGAAAGGGGTGCAACGACCGAGTGCGTCACCTCAACTACGCAAAGTTGATCGGTCCGCAAGTAGCACATGGCACAAATTCCTCCCGCAGCCGATTTGCCCACTTCTTATGCCGGACGTAGACGACGGACATGTATTTCCCGCACTGACATTAACATACTTAATACCTCTTCTTACTTCTTACAATGCAAAACCCTAATTAATGCCTTAAATTGTGTATGGAAAACAAATGCTCTTTCTTTAAAACCACTTTTTATCATTGTACGTATAACCCATGTACAGGCAATGTCAGTTAGTAATAAGAAACTAACCGTATCCGTGACACTTAGTTACTTTATACGGTGTTACGGGTCAGTACGATATAGTAGCTGATTTGCGAGCTCTACATATTTCACCTAAGGTAACCAGAACAACAATCGTCGTGACACAGATACACCACTGTGAATGCGCGATATGGAAAGCGTTGTAGAGAACACACCCATATTTAATTTCATTTTAATTTGGCTGTCAGTAGGTTAAACAACTTCTAATTTTTTTTTAGGAAAATGAATTCGTGAAGCAAAGAATCGCACGTGGCAACGTCCGCTACATTTGGACGTCTGGTCGCAAATGCAACTTCGCGGGTTGTGACCGCGCTGACCTGCAACCTCCTAATGTTAACGGCTGGTTCTGGTCTGGTTCTGGCGCCAAGGTTGGACCTACCACCCAACGCAACACTGGTGACTGGTCCTACACTGGCGGATATGGTCAAGCGCAGCCTGATAACCGCGAAGCCGCACAGGTCAGTTAAACTCGTAAATTTCATTGCATAGTCCTATATTATTAACATCGTCATTCAAACAAAACTAACGCTTATAATCTTGATTTGTGTGTATCGTACAGGGTAATGACGAGTCGTGCTTGGCAATCCTCAACAACTTCTACAACGATGGCATCAAATGGCACGACGTCGCTTGTCACCATGTGAAGCCGTTCGTGTGCGAGGATAGTGACGAGTTGCTCAACTTCGTGCGCTCGCGAAACCCTAGCCTTCGCCTATGAATTTCAAATATTATCGCACTCTAGTGTTGTAGATGGCTGACATTGTACAAAACATAGTGTCTATCTTTATTAAGTTATTTATTAAATTAAGAAATTGTTCACAGCTTGATTTTTTTCTCTATGATAGCCATAATACCTTAGATGAGAGACTGAAATGATACAAGATTAATACCCAGCACATTTTAAATGTACTCCAGTGGGTTTACGCCACTTAATGTTTGCGAAGAACTTATAACGAAATAGCATAAAACCACGGCATTAGGTAATTCAATCTCTATTTAATTGTTAATAGTAGAAGGGCCATAGTTTTAAAATAAAAAATTTAGCTAATTAATTGTAATTATTTTATACAGTGTTTACAAAGAGTTCTAAATCAACATTACGTTCACTTTCATTTTGTTGTGTAATACACATGAGTATTTCGTTACGTTAAACAAAAGTTTTAAAACTGGAAAACATCCCGTAGATTGGATGGCTATCTTTGAACTACTTTGGTCAGTCATCCAGACGGAATTAAAATATTCTACTCTGAAATCATAATTTATGATGTAAAAAGTATTATTTTGCACAAATAATATAAATTAAGAGTTAGATGTAATAAAAAAGTAATTATTAAAAGTATTTTTATTCAGTACAGGTAACCTATCGCGACTCTATCCTCAAGGAGGATATAGGCGCCAGTCATTTTGTCAACCATAATATTATCACACTTACGTAATTAGCCTATTACCGGCGACAGGGCACTTTACGAACCAGATGGGTAAATTGGGAGTTCAACGTGAAAGACAACATTTCCTTTAGACTTGAAGGCAACTTTTCCTGCCATTGGAAAGGCATATTGCTTATACGGATGAGTTGGGAAGTTGCTATCAAGACTTCGAGTAGATCAGAGTCACTGACCCGCAACTCGAACTAACTATTGCTTTAAAGTCCAAGCCCTTAAACCCGGCTAAACATAATTGATTTTTATAATAAATAAAAAATAGTTTTATTATTTTAAATTGTACCTAGTTTATTTTGACTTACAAAGATACTTGCCGTAGTCGTCCTTTGCATTACATATTACTGTTATGTTACTGATAGTTTAAGGAAACTCTAGTATGTTTGACTTTTACCTACTACATAACATCCCCCCTATTCATCCCGTGGGTGTCGTTAGAGCCGACCAAGGGAGCAAATTACACAGGACAACAGCACCACAAAGAGAAGGAAAACTCAACACAAACCCTACACCAACTTGTCTAGCCAGGGTGGTATAAGTAGGCCAAAACCAAAGGAGGTTTATGTCCAGCACTGAACTATTAAAGGCTGTTGATGTGATGTGAGCAGGCCTTTGGAAAACCCTAACACTTCTGTCCAAGCAAAAAAAACTACATTCAGAAGTAAGAAAGTTAATTTGAATGGTAATGTTTATACATCCATAGTTAGCGCTTTTTTACACTTTTATTTGTAAAATCGTTTAATAATTTTGTTACGCGTGATATCGCCTTATGATAAAACTGTAAGAGGTCTAATTCTGTACACTAAAGAAATGTATATGTCTGTTTATGATTGAAATCAAATTTGACATAGGTATACTCCCACTCATATTCCCTTGAATGAAAGTAAGGGTTTACTTCACGGCAATTCAATAACACCATTAGAATCAATTACGAGAATTTTGGAGTAAATAAATATATACAAGACTTAGCAAAAGGGTATCGAATACTTTTTGTCACGAAAATAAGCCTTGAAAGTAGCAAAATAGGAGATTAGAATTGGTAGGGAAGACTAACAATTTGTCTAGTTTATTTGGACGCATTCAGATAAATCGATACATGTAAACAAAATATTGAAATATTTGCGGGCTGACGGGTCACCTGATGGAAAGTGACCATCGCCGCCCATGAACTTCTGCACCTCAGGAGCGAAAAACGCGTTGCCGGCCTTTTAGGAAGAAGTAAGCTCTTTTCTTGAAGGTCGGTCCGGAAATACCGCAGACGATAACCCGTTCCACATATTCCTTATGCGGAGCAAAAAGTGTCTCGAAAAACGCACAGTAGTGAAGCGCCAACTATCCAGGTGATGAGGATGATAATTTTGCCGTATGGTACGACGGCGGAAAGTTGCGGCTGGTATTAGTCCGAACAATTCCTCGGAGCACTTTCCATGGTATATGCGATAAAGAATGCAGAGTGAAGCCACATCTCTACATAACGCCAAGGATCGAGCCGATCGGAGATGTTTGGGTTATCGATGATTCGAGTCGCTCTTCGTTAGATGAGGTCCAGAGGGAGAAGCTGGTACTGAGGTGCCCCTGCTTAGAGATGAGAACAGTTTTCCATATGCGGACGGACTTGCGTCTTATAGAGCTGAAGGCGGTGTGCCGTAGTGAAATATGGCCTCGATCTGTTCAGTACCCCGAGCTTCTTCGAGGCCAATTTGACCTTACCCTCTAAGTGACCCCGAAACTGGACTTAGCTCGCTATGTCGATGCCTAGGATTCCGATGCTGGCTGAGGCAGTTAGGAAGGTGCTCTCAAACAGAGGTAATACGACAAATGCTATCTTTTTTGCGGCGAACGATGTTAGGTTATTTTTTGTTACCAAAAGAAGCCTTGAAGCTAGCAAAATAAGGGGATAAAAACATTTATGGGAGAATAATAATTTGTCAAGTTTATTTAGATACATTTTCGTGTTTATTATTTAGAGAAATTTGGCTTTTGACGAAAGCAAGCCTAACTTGGCAACAACGTGTTATGGTCACATCTCTTGATGATATGCAGGCAGGCAGGATCCCCTCACACAACAGCGAAGACACGTGTTATTGAACAGGTAGCCAACTCCGTTAGAGTTCACAGGATTTCCTGGCAATAAGGAATCCGTGATGGAACATCGTTAACCTTTTAAAAAACCTTTCGAGGCCCAGGTGGGGGGAGAGCGTTAAAAAGTTAAAAATAAAAGGGCGCCATATATCTCTAGAGTTCTGAATTTCTCACACACACAATGAAAGAAACCCAAATCGTAATCTAAATATTCCAATTGTCAGCTGCAGTATCTCTTTACCAATTTCTATAAAGTGATCGATATGGCCAGACCTAGTGGTGTTTCAAATCACAGGACGGTAGGTACGCGACCCATTTCCCCATACGTACGTAGTCTCTGTCCCGTTTCCCTAGACTTGTGGTATCTCTTCTAGATCCTTCCCTCTATCTGTTTTCCTCAAAATGATTTTCCTCCTTAATATGTAATTGCAGACACCTGGTAACAATTACATTCCCAGGGAGAGTTGAAAATACCCGGCCATTAACGAAATCAGCCTAAACCCTTTACAATGTTAGGTACACATATTATTGCACCGACGCTTAATGAAACTAGCATCGAAATGATGATGATTACTAATTAGTTGTTTGTTTACTTTTAAACGCAATACCTATTTAAACGCACGCATTCACGACCAAACCACTAGCCCGATTTCAAATGAAACTTCTCATAGAGATACTTTGATTCCTGAGGAAGGACATAGGCTACATTTTACCGCGATTTACCTACATGCGGGCGAAGCCATGGGCAAGCTAGTTAGGTATACATTATGTGAATAATAGTTAATACAATCTCTTAAACTTCTTAATGTCTGCATTTATAATTTAGACCTGTAGTGTAGGAAATCGTGTTATCTACGTTCCTGTCTATATCTATCTATATATCGCTAGTCTAAGGACCCCTAGGTCGTTTGTAAAGACGTAGGCACGAATTAGAGTATCTCTGAACAAATCCTGAGGCAGCGAACATTTTTAGGGCTTGTTTGAACAAGTTTGATTTTAGTAACAAAGAACTACCTACATTAACTAGGTATTAGTCATCAATAGCCTTTACTAGTCCACTGCTGGACATGCTAAAAATGATCGTATAACCTACTTTAGGGAATTCCCCTAAACAGTTGCAGTTGTATGCATTTGAATAATGGTATGTAAAATGACTTATCTAGTGGGTTTTTTCGAACCATGAAATGCCTCGATGTTATTTTTAGCAATCCGTGTAACTCCCAATTCCTATTACTTTTTCTTTATTGAATTTCTAAAAGGAAATAATATTAATATATGCATAAAAACGTATAATTATATAAAATAAATGATACAAATCGTTACAAACAAATTTTCAGAAAAACCGGTACACATTGACGATTTGAATCGTTAAAAAACAATAGGAATAAAAATACAAAACTCAACTTACAAACAAAATATATAGTTAATTTAGGTACAGATGTCGAATACATAAAATATATCCGTTTCACGATAAAACACTTTTTAATGAGTCAACACTAAGCGTCACATTCTTGAGGCGATAGAAAACGATGCCTGCATGGAATACAGATAAGATGCAATACATACATGCAATACTTTGTCACTCTATGGACCATTTTGAAATCCTGGATCAACTAACTATCCTTTATATCCTATCCTATCCTCAATTAGTACCTTTATTTAAAAAAAATGCATACATTCCTTGCTGATTTTCTTGAGTCAATAATTTATATTTCAAATAATGATGTATCCAGGCATTATCTTAATTATATAAGTGGTATTATCATATAATTTTAAATAGCCAGACCAACGTGATCGAAACTGCAAGTAACTGAACGAAAAATTTTACTTGTTAGTTTCTATATTTCATATAGATATATATGTTGATGAACCAAACATGTTCTTATTTCTATATTAACAACAGAAGTCTCTAAATATTTAGTTCTTTATTAATTTTAGTTAAAAATCGACTAATTATAAAAATAATTACAAAACGACATAAAGTCAACACTTAATAAGTTAGTGTAAAGGTCAATATTCCTATTTAGTATGTGTGTCAGGTTATTATATATTTAAATGATATGGAATATGTAATCCGTGTTAAACTATTAGTTTACTGCTCATTGACATAATAACCCTATTATTTAATTATATTGGCTACGAAAATCTATTTTATTTAGTAATTGTGACAGGTTTATAGTGATCCATCAACCTAAATATAAATTTACCTAATTCTTTGATCAATCAAATTTTGGCTTTTGTTACTTAATGTAAAAATCTTGTTACATAAATACATAATATGCAGTTGTTGTTACATAAATACATAATGTGCAGTTTGAATTGCATACGATGTACCAATATATATAATATAACATTTAAAACATAACTATGCAAAATTTAAGAAACTGGTACATGAAATAATATTAACATGACCTGACACCTGACCTCAGCCATTCAGAGAATTATAACGCATAGTTTCCTCTTTTTGCAGCAACCTGTAGTTTTGAAATAACTTTGCAATAACAATCTTAAAATTCTTTCACAATTACGTGAATCAAGCGTCTTACCTTACCATAAGGCGTAATATAATTTGTATAATACTTAGGTATATATCATATTTAAAATAATAATTATATGTAATACATATTATAAACATAATATGCTTGTCAGACCCTCACTTAAATTACTTACACAGCCTCATACAGTTTTAACTTAACATTGTTTTAATCGAAAGACACACTTAAACCCCCGACAAAAGGAGTTATAACAGTAACAATTACAGCTAAAACACATTACATCTTGTTTAAAAGCAAATTCAACTTATAATAACCATAATTATTTTAAATACCTTCAAATTTAAGTTCGTATAACATTTAACACACAATCACGCCCACATATAACTTACATAGATTATTAGACTTGTATTTACCACTAGCCATTTTAGGCAAATTCACTTGCGTTTATGGCTCCTAAGGGTCATGTTACATAACCTATAATCTTCCACAATGAATGCTCTTTCCAACACAAAGTAATTATTCAAAGTCGTCATCTTACAAAATACATAAATGAACATGAATGAACACAGCATAAGATAAAATTCCTGATAATTCTATTACAAATTTTACAAATTAATAGTTTTTTTTATGTTTAACTAGATCGTACCGGTCCCGGTCGGTATAAACATAAGCTTATTAGTTAGTCAAACATTTAACGTCATCGAGTATGGAAGCGAGAAGCGGTTTGTCCCGCAAGGCGCCGGCCAGCTCGGAGCGGTCCCACTGCAGGCGCAAGCGGCGCGCGCGAGTGCCTCCCGTAGCGCTCCCCGTGCGAAGGGCGCCCCTCGCTTCCAGTAACGAACAAACCTGTGCCATCTCTCCGATGTCTAGGGGCGCTATGTTGCGGGCCGTTGCGACTCTGCGAACCAAACATTCTTTATGTTTTAGATCTATAAGTCGGGGCTTACTCGCGAATGCGCTTACAAGGTACAGTACGATGCATGCAATTCTGTAATTATTATTGGTCCCGATTTACACATCACATGCGAATTATTTTATTCTTCACATTACGGAATAGTTGAACATAGTTGATTATGCCACCCGAATTTTATTACGCTTACACAAAAAATTGACATCATAAGAGAACATGGCGTACTTTTCATCTATGTTTCTTTAATCCAAAAAAGTTGGTTTTGGTTTCTTTTTAATCCTATACTTATATTTTAGGACAACGTAGTCAAACTTACTTTTTATAAACATCGTGTAGTTTTCCCATCATTATATCCTTCACTTTGCCTTTAGTTAGCATTAGCATCAGACTACACAAAATCAGTTTTTGTTGTAACGGGAATCCCTCATCTACATCGGACTCCATTTTTCTCGATCCGCCATAGACGTCGTTCAACACTTCCAGTACTTGTTTCAGTTCTACGGTCACCGAGGCATCTTTCATCATGTTGTCAACCGACTGGTTGACGGTAAACTTTGTACGCTTTGCGAGTTCTATTACTCTTCGTCCTATATCTAAAGCTCTCCTCATATCGCCAGATATCGCAGCGATTTTTGCTAAAATAAAAAAAATATTGTATTAATTCCAGACACTTTTACTACTCACGGCACGTTTTACTAACAATCTTTGTATTTTGTAACATGTCCGTATTTAAGTATTTTATAATAGTAAATAAGACCGTAGTTTTTTACTGTAAAGATTTCACAAATGGGTATTTACCGTCACATTAAAAAAATACCTCTCCAATAAATGTAAAAAATCTGTTGTAAAGAGTTCTCTAAACTAGACCAAATTACGAAAATTCCGTTTTAGTCAAATGCTGTCTGAAATGTATGACTAAAGAACAATGGCGAATTCGTAGTTGAGTATAATTTGAGCGTCTTAAAATGTCATTCACAGGAAACTAATTCTAGTAAATATCTACGTTTTTTGAAACTATCTCCTAAGTCAGTAATACCCCAGGAAAAGAAAGAAAAATGTTATAAGCCCATTTGATTGTTTTAATTTCCTTTATCAGTTTAGTGTTACCATTTTATAGCCATATTTTTCATGTAGTGGAAATACTGTCCAAAAAAGTATCATAATATGGTAATCACTTAATTAACACATTTGAAATATTGTAATCTGTGTTTTTAGTTTTAAATAAAGAATTTTTATTATTATTATAGTAATATGGTAATCAGATAATAGTTTTATAATTCTAAGTACTGAATCAATAAATTAAATAATATAGTTTGTGGTGCATTATTAAACGCATTGTTTACGAATTTGAAAATCCTGTTGGAATATAAGGAAGTAAAAAAAAATAAAGTGGCAACGGCAAGCTGAAAAAAAAGCAATGGTTTTCTGACAACTCTTTACAGATGTTTAAAAATAAAGACTAAACGTCTGACACGAATGGCCGCGAATTAGTTTAGGTTTTGAATTTACAATTCATTGCATGTTGAAATAGGTACTCGTAACAAATTAAGGAAAAGGAATATACTTATGTAATTAATATTAAGTCATTATATCCAATTATACTCCAATTAAATAAGTATACTTATGTATAAGATGATTATTTCTTGCATCAGACACATTAAAAGTGACATAAAAATATAACCTACGAAAGTTCTACAGTGGACTATAATAATTCTTTATTATCTTTTTTTATTTAAATGGCACATATACAGTTATAATTATCAAATAGTAATGTAAAGTCGATAGCCATAGACAAATTAATAAAATAAATTAAACATTAAGTAGAGCTATGTTGTAAAAGACTTTATCTCTTTTAAAGACAGTCCACAGATGCAGTGCGTAACTGAAAAAAATCAAATGCTAATATCTTTTTTTCTACCCTTTTCCAAACAAAAATTGTTTTTTACGTAGATTCTAAAAAAAAAGTCGAATTTTTTTATATTTTTTCACTACAAGACGGTGCAATTTGATTCCAAATATTTTTTGTATGGAGACCCGCCATTGTTCTTCAACTACAAGATCGACACCATGTACATAAAATATTTGCATAAATTAAATAACTTCTGAAATCATACTTGAAACTGAATAGGTCGATGGGCAAAGAAATATCTAAACCTACAGCTCCCGTTTTACGAAAAAAAATTAGTTTAATTAACAAATATCTGGCAAGGGTACTATTTTATAAATTCTTTTTCCCGTACCAACCAACATAAAAGTAAAAATTGTTTATGAATTTGTAGTACAGACGAAAGAAAAATAAAACTGAATTACCTGCAAGCATTTGCAAAGCAACCGGAGAAAACACGTTGCCTTTGTCTTCATTGGCAAGTACGGCAGTAAATATATTAATAATCTGTTCTTTGGTGTAGGGTGCAAAATGTAGCGTGTTTGGACGCAACGAGCAGCGCGCCTGCAGTCGGGGTAAAGTTCTCTCAGTCAGGTCGAGAGCGTTGGCGATGCCGATTAGCACAATCCGTGAGTTAGCTAGGGCCGGCCACTCGAATATTGTATAAAGCACAGATTGCCGTTTACTATCCAGTTGGTCTATCTCATCTAATACTAGAAGTCTGTAATAAAGAATACAAATTATTTAATCTCCGGCGCCGTTAATCCATACGCAATGAACAATCGAAGCCTTAGAAACAGCCACGAAACTGAAAATATAAGTAACAAATTGTAGTTTCATTTGAACTAAAAGGAAACTTTTTAATTAAATGGATAATGGATATAATCTTACCTTTAAATAGGTAAGTAGAGATTATACTGGACTTTGTAGTCAACGATAACAGACAATAGCAGGACTATTACGCTGAGATTGAATTTTCTTGAAAGAACGCTGAGCAAGTGCAAACTACATCTGGACGGAATGTAATCAGACTACAATATTCTATATCTTTCACTGATATGATATCCTTAACGTTCGCGTCCGCGACCAGTCTGTTCTATATGTAGTATGCACTACTATTAATAAAAAAAGACGTGTTTAATTATTTATTGTAGATACTTACATCATCTTATGTTTCTTATTTAAATATTTTTCTATTGCATTATAACAAGCTTTTTCCGTAGATCCAGAAGTTTGCAGCTGTAGTTCCTTACAAATCCTACCATAAACGCTTGCTGCTGATTTCATCATTGTACAGTTAATATAAACTTGTTTGAAGCCATCTTTAAACTAAAAAAATAAAAAATAGCATACAGTCTCTGTGCGTATATACCTACACACTTGCGACACACAAAAGAACATCATTAGTTTAACAGAATAACTGCACGGATGGCGTTGTGGTTTAAGCGGTCGGCATGCCGCTTACTTCTACGCTGAGTGTTGTGGGTCGGATCCCCACATGTGACGACACTTTGTGTCATCCACAAATTGTTATTCTGAGTCTGGGTGTGCTTTGTGTCCGTTTCATGTATGTTTGTAAAGTCCCCCGCCACACAGAATATTATGCTAATGCGGGAGTTGTCTTTTTAAAAAGAAAAAAAGGATGCTTACAAAAATGAATTTAATCTATGTTAACGGATCAAAGAAACTGACAGAATGTATACACAATTAACGAATTTTGTATGAATAGTACACTTGTAAATGACAGTAGTAAAGTGGAGAAGGAGAGATACCTTAGATAAGTTTAATATATATGATAGACTTGCTGTTTTCCCAGTTCCTGGCTGTCCGGATATATATAGCGATGCGGATTGTTCGTCTTTAAGATTCTGCGTCAAAAAGTTATCCAGCCATTCAATTTCTTTCTCCCGGCTCGTAAGAGGTTTAATGCATTCTTTGCTAAAATCATAAATAATATAAATATAAAAGGTACTGTTTTAATTGCAATATTCAAACCCCTTCATTAGCATAACATTTACTTGTTCAATAAATATTTCAAACCCATTTACATAATCATCTCAAAGTATTTTATTCTACCGGTGCACTGTATGTCAAGAGACATTAAAATCGGACATGCTCGTTTTTAAACAAACGTATAGGGCTTATTTTTACAAATATTATAATAAAACTCCTGTTTGAAAATGCCACATAGTTTTCTAGAAATTAAAATTTGAAATTAATTAATTTACTAAATTCAAAATTCAAAAAACTAAAATTTAATAAAATTAATTTACTAAATTTAAATTTTATTTACCCCCAATAAGTGACCAGTTAGCTGTTACTTATTGTAATAAAAATAAATTCAAATAATAAATAAAACTTTATAAATTTCAAATCTGATAATAAACACACTTAAATAATTAGCTTACTTGGTACTAATTATTGCATTAACTTCAACAGATTTATCCCAAACCCACCTATCTTGATTATTATGACTATGTCATTTTTGTGGGCAAATACTTGAAGTCATGGGGGTTGTAATCATGGGTTTAGAAGTTCCAGCTAACATTGTGGAAATTTAAGAACCTTTATTCCTACAAGGTTTCTCAAAACCGCCCGATTGCCCAAATGGCTTATATAGAGCAATTCTCGTGCCCGCGGTCATTGGCAAGCAGAGGAACACCGGGGTGGTTTTTAGTCGGTAAGAGTCCTACAGAGCCCCCCCCCCCCCCCCCCTCCGTAAATAAGTGAACACCGACATCCATGGATGGCGATCTTCCAGCCCATTGACCAAAAAAAAAAATATTTACCTATTTTTTGGAGATTTTGTATCTAAACAAGTACTTTTTTTTGATATTTTTTCAGGACTACCTGAAAATAACAAATACATATAATGATAATTATGAAAATTCAAACAGACTGTCACCCGAATCATACGTGGCTAAAGAACTATATATTACCTTCCTGAAGATGATCTTTCAGGTTACTATTATTATGTCTTTTTAAACTTCTTCCTTTAGGCATGCTCACTATATTTAGGATGTCTTCATTTTCATTTGAGCCTATGTCTTGATCATCAATGAAAATCTTCTTGCGAGATTTGAATGGAATACGTGCCTGAACGCCAGCCATCTTTAAATAGAAGAAGTATGTGATTTTTCAAATCAAACGAATAAAGAACAAATTAAGTATATTTATATAAATACCTTAGACTTGGTATATATGAGAAACACACATGAAAATGGAAAAAACGATGATAGTACAATGAATAATAAAAACAAACATTTTTCGCTCCAAACAACTAAGATTTTATTTTCTTATTCAACATCTTTTAAGTAGATAATATACAGTGCAAAAAAATACTAAAAATATACACAATTATATATTATACATTTATTATTAAGAACACCAACATATAGACAATGTTATTATTTATGATGCAGGTACATCTGTACCGTAACTTAGAATTAACCCTATATTATCATGTTTCCCAAATAAAACAAACTTGGTACCTAGTTTAGGCACACATTACAGTTTCACTTAAAGTTAGGTAATACCTAGTTATTGTATTATGTATTTTTTTGTTATAAGTTGATTATCTATATGACTCATGATATGACCGAATTGCTAATTATTTTACATTGGTAACTTAAAACAAATACAGATATATAATAGTACAGTGTATCAGATTTGATATTATCAAGTTTATTGTATTAGTTTGTACACCAATCAAATAATGATGTTTATGTTATATGTCCATATTACACAAATATATACGTTAACAGATTACTTAAAAATTAAAGTACGCAACTAAGTCGTATTTCATCGTAGAGTTAAGCAGATCAATCAATTTTAATAAAACTAATTACAATTAATTAATTTGTTACATATTAATTGCAATTTACAAATTATTTATTTAGATTAAGCTATATTGCCTGCAAAAATAAATTAATCACAGTTAAGTTTATAAGTGTGCACACAGAACAGATAAAATTATCAATTAGTCGGTCTTATAGGTATACATAACAAAATAAGAATATTCTCTATTTTATTTTGCGATTTTCAGCTTTCCATTTGTAACCACATTTCGATAACTTTAAACAGTATGTCGCTAGTACTAGCCTAGATGTAGGTAGCACGGTTCGTTGTAAGTTGTCTTAATTTTCAGGTCCTATATTTCTTGATTAATTTTACTTAAAACACCTTTAGGTCCTAGCTCTTAAATAGCTAACTTGGAATAGGTACAGGGTAGCCTGTGTGAAGTAAACATATCGTTCATTTTCTTCAGTATGTATGTACCCCTATATAATTCTAAATTCATATTAATTTTACAGTGTAGTTTTAAAACTTATTTAAAAAAAACAGTTATAATACAGGTCTGTGTTTTGGTTGCCCGGCTTACGACTTTTTTTGGGCTATATGGCGTATATGAAACTGCAACATAAGGTGCGGTTTTTACGTAATCATACCTTCTATTCGATTGACATGTAACCCCACGATTGATTTCTCGCTTGAACTCTGGCTTGTTACAAACAGTATATCAGCCGGGAAAAGCAGCGCAGATAACAAATAATATTAAACTTAATAGGAAAGCGGCATGTGGCTCACGCTCACGGTTTTTTGGTCAGTGTTTGCGAGACCATCGTGACCCTCGTTGCCCAAAAATTATTATTAAGTATGTCGGCGTCAAAAATTTAGTATGTTCTCATAAATCAACACTGACCCATACATACATATGTTATGAATTACCGTGTCATCAGTGCCTTCTCTGCTAGTATCAATATATATTTTCTTTGATACAATATATCATAAAATTATAGTCGCTGTTGATATATAAATATACAAAAATATTATCTATAGTAGATAATCTTTTTGTAACTCTATAGTAGGATTACGGAATGAATTAATTTCCAATATGGGAACAATAGTGACCGATAGTTAAAAAAATATTTACTATTTAGAAAAAAAACTACTTATGTAAAAGGCAATTCCATAGGTGAAGTCCATAAATGTACCTATATATGTATATACTAATATGTATTATAAAGCTGAAGAGTTTGTTTGGTTGAGCGTGTTAAAAAAAAAAACAGATAAATAAAATGTCATTTGCCACGTTGTGGATGCATTCAAAGCACTTTGGAACACCATATAAAAATAATTTTCTCACGAAGTGATATCACTGTAGTATGCTCTAAGGGAGCAAAATACAGGTATATTATTTCTGAACCTAAAGGTTTAAATTAAAACTGAAATACTTACACCAATCCATGCAACATACTATAGAGCGATTCTTAAATATCGGATCATATTAAAATAGACTTAGACCGGTTTAATGTGATATATGGATAATTAAACAAAATATATTTCTGCTTGAACAAGGAAAACTTCAGTAACCTGGTATACAAGACTGTAAAGCGAAGAAAAAACCACAGCTTTCCAACGACACCTATGTTTTACCATAAGATTTTTTTTTTAGACAACTCCCGCACTAGGAATAAATCCTGTGGCGCGGGGGACTTTACAAACATACATGAAACGGACACAAAGGACACCCAGACTCAGAACAACAATTTGTGGATCACACAAAGTGTAGTCCCATGTGGGGATCGGACCCACAACACTCAGCAACAGTAGCAAGCGGCATGGCGACCGCTTAAACCACTACGCCATACGTGCAGTCAAAAAAGATTGGTCAATTGTTGTGTGGTAAGACTGTATTAACAAATTTGAAGTAAGCAGTAATGTTTTGTTGCTACAGCTATTTTATCGTTATTTTCACATTCAACAGGCAATCTCAGTTCCCTTTAACAAGTCTGTGGTAGTAACTAATACAACAGTAATAGTAGTAGTTCACCCTATTAACGTTCAATGAAATGGTTTGCGAATGGTTTAAATACCTTGATAGCTATATTTATTTTCCGGAATTATTTTTTTCATGGTGTAAGGGGGCAAATGAGCATACGTCTCTCCTAATGGTAGTTAACAACCCGCCCATAGATTCCTGCAGTCACAATTGCGTTGCCACCCTTTCAGTCCCAAAATCAGAGGAAGACGGAAGAGTTTGAAAAGCAACGAAAGGACTGGTTAACACCGCTTTTCTGTGATAATGTGGTATCATTTCGGTCTAGTCCATATGTTCAGAGGCATGGTTCTCCCTCGTGCAGAAATTAATATTTATCTTTGTGCCTATTATTTTTGGGTCACTTCGTTCGACCTTAGTTTGTTGTCAGGTAACCTAAGACAGGATAATGCAGATGCCTTCACGGTTGTAACGGCTGCATGACCAATTTCAGAGACGGCGAATTGTTAGTGTGCTAAGCTGGTATGAACTCTACAGTAGAGCCAAAATCGCTGCATGCGCCAGGAAGGGAACGGCAAAAAAATCGGTTTTAATTAGGTCAAAGGATAGATTCTTAAAATATTGATTTTTATTAATAAATAGTAATAAATAAATCTAAATAATATTAAAAATAAAATAGTAAATAAATCTAGGATAAGCCTTAACTCGCTAATAAACTTTCAGGACCTCGAAACTACGATATGCACTAAAAAGGAACCGGACATGCGTATTACTTCAGCAGTAACAGCCGCGCTTTTTCATAATAGTGTAATTAATGTCAGTCCGGATACTATAGTAAATATTTGTGCTTTATGGATTAGGTATACCATAGGTGGCCAAATTATTAGGGACAGTGCTCGTATTTATGTAATTTATAGTTTATTATATTTTTTTGAATAAATGATGTTGCTTTTAAGCGGTTATTGTATCTGATATGTTTACTGTTATCATTATTATTGTTTTTGTCAAATGGCAACACAGAATACTTGCGTTTTTTATCAATTGTGTGACCTTTCTTCTTTGCCCGTAAAAAGCGCGGTTTTCGGTATTATTGTTGTATTGTCTAGGTATTATTTTTTCATTAGTTTTAACCGACTTTTGTGTCTTAATTAATCAAAAGGTAAGTAATGCTCCGTATAAGAATAGTTTTGCTACGTTTTGTCTATGAGTTTACATTTTATTAATGGTTCGACACGATAACTCAAAATTTTAAACTTTTTAGGATGGGTAGGACTTTGGACACGTCTCCAAGAAAATGTAGAGAGATACAAACGTTGTTACTGCACTCCACACATTCCCATAGAGACATAGCAGCTATTGCTGGGGTTTCAGTCTGTCGTCAATCGAATAAAAACAAAAATTTACAATATAAAGCCTCTTGAAGCAAATCGTACTAGCACATGTGGCAGGAAAAGGATTACAACAGCTCGTACCGATCGCATAAATCAGGAACATCTGCCTCGAAAATCGTAAAAAGAGCGTTGCTCGTTTAACAACTATGATAAACGAAGAGGGCGTAAAGATTCCAGAGAGGACAATGTGCGGAGGCGGTTGGTCGAAGAGAATCTGATGGGACGGCCGCCTGCCAAAAAACCCCGCCTAACCGATAGTATGAAAAAGAAACGACTCCAATGGGCTAGGCAACATCGATATAGACTATTGCAGACTGGAGTCGAGTAAGTGTAACTATTTTGTATAATGCAATTGGTCAATAACAATTTATTTATTTATTCTACCATTATAACAGATGTGTTTTTCCGACGAATCAACCTTCCAAATTTTGGTTGACAAAAGTTCTTTTGTAAGACGACGTCCTGGTGAGAAATTTCACGTTGATTGCCTTGTAGAGAGGGTTAAACACCCGATTAGTGTCATGGTGTGGTCTGTCATCTCAGCTAAAGGCATGGGGCGCCTATACATCGTGGAAGGGACTATGAAACAAGATCAATACAAGCGAGTTCTAGAAACGCGATTACTGCCGCAGTTCAATGAATGGTTCCCTGATGATGACGAATACATTTTTATGCATGACTCAGCACCGTGCCACAAAGCCAGAAGTGTAACTCCATTTTTGGCTGAAAAAATGTCTCTGTTTTGCCTTGGCCAGGGAATTCACCAGACATGAATCCAATAGAAAAAATACGGGAACTCACCAAACGGGCGATCGCGAAAGAAGTGATTACCATTAAGCGACAATTGATTGAAACTCTCATCAGAGAATGGCATCACAACTCCAAACTCCAGGAAAATGCAAAAAAATGTATTGAAAGCATGCCCCGACGCATAGAAGCTCTTATTATCGCAAAGGGTGGCATCACTAAATATTAAAAAATATTTTATTTATTTTTACCAATATTTATAATACTCATACGAGGAATATAAATCAGTTTTGTATATTTTTTTTTGTAGTTTTTGTGATCCTTATAGAATACAGATACAAAGAAAACATATATAAGAGACCTACAACTAATCGTTTGTTACGGTTATCCAATTAAACTAGGCAATTCAAAAATTTCGATACTGTCCCTAATAATTTGGCCACCTACTGTAACAGGCCATGGTGTCCAAGATTACTTTTTCACAATAAAGTACTCATACTAGTTTTATGAACAATAAATGTAAAAGACAAATGCCCCCAGAGCTGAGATACAGAGGCCCAGTTAGATGCACTTCTAACTATAGGTACAACAACAGCAGCAGTACAGTACAATGTACAGTGACCCAAACACTTAAAAAAAATATGGGCTTAGGTCAGAACTGCTATCGAAATTAAAATGGGCATTCAGTATATGTATGTAGCAACATTGCTGTATCCTTTAACTTGGAACCATGCTCCTTAAAAGTGCAAGATATTTCTGAATTTTAAAGGCATGAATATATTTTTAAAATGATGATAAAAAATATAAATGAAAAGCCAAACAAATCATAAGTTTTTAGAAGTAAAACCTATATTACAAAAAGGGTGCATTTTTGCTCAGTGGTCGACTTAGCTGTTTACATTTGAATTGAAGTGAGAAGTTGAAGTACAATGCAAAGAATATAAGCAATATACTTTTAGTATTAAATACAAACCAAAAATTTTTAAATAAAGTTATTTTACTTGTATTAAAAAAAAGGATGTCTTTGGAATTTTTCATTACATATTAATGTAATTAAAATAGTAAACAGTAGTCCACCCAAAACTTTTTTATTTAATTGAGTATAATATAGAAATTCTCTTTGTCGGTATGTACTTACAAAACAATGATTGTACCCTTATGTAAAGTTAAATTACACTAAAAAGCACAGCACTTTATAAAGTCCACTTTCCCTGGATTCCTGGCATCTTATTGTTTATCCTTGTTACTGAATTCATTTTGAATCTGATGTGCCATATTTGATCTTTTGTACATATTATCAAGTTGCCTCTGTGCCCATGCATTCATTTCCATTTGATGTCTCAACTGCATCATATTTTGATGATGGGCTAGAAGTTGTGGACGTGTTTGAGACATAAGATATTCAGCTGATGGGCTCACACTAGGACTTGGTTTTAAATTTGTTGAAAGAGACTGCCTTATACCTGTTAATTTACCTGTAGATGCCATAGGCTTAGTTAAAATTTTAGAAGGTCCCGGTGTTATTTTGGAGACATCATTATTTGTGGAATTTACATTTGAAATCTGTTCGGAAGAGCAACTGGTAGCTTGTTTTTCTTCTGCAATTACTAACTTTGGTGAGGAACTAGGAGAACGAGTCTGTGACCTTGGTGATGGTTGAGCTGTGCTTGGAGATATGCGAGGAGTAATTTGGTAACCTGGTGATGTTACAGATGGGCTATTGATAGTGCTTGTAGTTTTTAGGGTATTTGATTTATTGCAAGACACCTCATGTCTATTATTTATTTGATTACCGCTGGGGTTGCCTTTATCTGGTTTCATTGAATTTACATTAGGGACAGGTGGAATTCTAAGTGGATTAATTCCAGTAGTTAATGGCCTGTTTGCAATATTGGGAAAAACATTACTTTGTGGCATACTTAGAGACATTCCTTTGCTAGGCAAACTTTGTTTTTTAGCCAAATTATCTATTGACTGCATTGTCAGTAGCTGGTTTTGTATGTTATGAGGAGTGGATAAATCCAGAGCTGCACTTGATTTATTTTCAAGTATAGGCATACTATTGGTATTGGGTTTATTCACAGGATTGGTAGGCTTGTTAGCTGCACTAAATGATTTTGGAGTGGCTGGCACAAGCTTAGGAACTTGAGCTTTATTTTTAGGCAACTTGGTTTTTTTATCAGATTGCAAGTTTTGGAGTTGTTGCTCAAATGTTTGCTGAAATGTAATAGGTGCAGAAAAGTTAGCACTCTGTTTTGCTAATTTAGTATCAGCAATGGGTTTCAAGTTAGGAACTGGGCCTTTAGCTGAGCTTTGATTTTCAGCTGATTTTGTGACTGGTTTTGCTTGAGGAGGAGTAGCTTCTTTACACTGTAAATTTTGCTTAACTTCAGAATTATTTTCACTTTTCAATGTTTTTTTTCCAGTTTCAGTATCAGGTAATTTTAATATTTCTATATAATTGTGTACTGGAGGACTTGGAACTTTGTGTGTAGTGCTACCAGCACCTGCAAGATTTTTATTCAACATACTCTTCTTAGGTTCAACAGCTACTGTTTCAGCAGGGTTATGACTTTCAAGTTTTTGATCAGTTAATGTAATGGATAAAGATGAGGGAATATTTATCTTGCATGAATCAAATAATGATTTTAATGGGTCTCCAGATGGCTGTGTTCCTGTTGGAGTAGTTAGTGAAGTTTTCACCTGGGATAATATTTTACTTCGATCACATGTAGGGTCACTATTATTTGCTAAAAGGTCCATCCTTACTTTATTAACAGGCTGTAATTTATTTTGTGATGATTGAGGCATTACAATACTCGGTTTAAGGTCTGGCATTTTTTTGATAGGATGCTTTTGTACTTCAGGTACTTTTATACCTGCTGTTGGAGGTTCAGTCTTAGGAATCGGAAGTATAAGTGGGGAAACTGATTTCTGACCTGCTGGAGGGGGCATTGTAATTTGTATTTCATTAGAATGTTTGCGTTTAGGGGATGAAATACTAGAACTTGTGACAGATCTTTTTGCGCTAGGACTCTCCTGTTGTTTTGGATTTACCAGTTGTTGTCTGATCTCTTTTGTAGGGGGTGTCATAGTTACATTATGTGCTGGAGAGTTTTTCAAAGAATCTTCAATATCCTGTGCTCTTATGGAAGTATCTGTTTTCACGCTTACATTAGAAGTTGATACACTAGGAATTACAGGTATTGATTTAGTTTCAATGTTCACTTTGGATTTCTCTATTTCAACCCTTAATTTTTTTAGTTCAGGTGTTTGTTGTGCAGTCTGATACTTTCTTTTAGCTGGTTCAATCACCTTACCTTCCAACTTCACTCCACTAGACTGAGCGTTGGATATTGACTCATTATTGCCTAAACTAAACTGATCATCTGTTTTTACAGGAGAGGTTTTATGAGGCATACAATTACTCTTTGCAGTAAGCTCAAATGAATTCAGAAATTGTGACTTTTTAACATCATCATCATTTTTCTTAGGTGACATACATACAGTTTCATCAGCTTTGTCTTCATCTCCTTCTTTTTTTAACTGCCCTACTTTATCATTCACTTTATTTATATCAGTAGCTTGTTTGACGCTATCATCTGGCATGGGGCTATCAGTTCCTGAAGACACTTCAGAGCCGTGGTCATTTAAAAGAGGTGCTGGACTACTTGCACTAGTATCTTCAGTTGGAGCTGGACTTGACTTTCTTTCATCAAAAGGACATATACCCTTTCGATTTATTTCAAACAACCTATTTCGAATTGCTACATAATCTGTTATTTGGTAGAAAAAACGCATTGGTTCATTCCTTTTCCAATTATATATATATGCAATGTCCATTAATGTGTAATAATCTGGTAAAGGAACTCTCTTATATAAAATATCAATGGCAAATTGAGTGCTGTCAATGTCAAATTTCATACTTAAAAACTTCTTTAAGTGGTTAATATTAACAACTGCAGGACATTGAAGATATCTTCTTGTAGTAGTAGATGCAGGTTGAGGTTCATTGCTGTCAGAAGATTTGCTTGATATGCTGTCAGTGTCTGTGACATCACAGTATTCCAAAGAGAAGGATATAACATCTTCAGGACTGAAAATTATTCTTTCTGTGTCTTCACCTCTTTGCTCAGGAGTAGCACATGCAGCAGGACCAGGTCTAGAAGAATAAAACTGTTGTCGCCGTTCCATTTCTTTTTGAAAAAGGCCTGGTACAAGCTTGTAAACTATATCCTGAAGAGCTTTGTCTAATTTAATGTTGGGCTTAGCAGAATTGATCATCATTTCACAAACTGGACAGTAGCTTTTAACTTGCAAATGTTTGATAATGCAGCTACGACAGAAGGAGTGTAAACACTCTACAATAGTTGTTGCATCTATGTAGTAGCCCCGACATAATGGACAAGTAATGTGTTCGTTAACTTCGCCTAGTAAGGTTCTCTGAGGCACTACTACTGCGGCACTACTCTCTTCGGCCATTTTTACTACTTTTTTATCTGATTGTTTATTAGAAGTAACCATCTTTGTAATCCAGCCTTACTATAAAAATAATTTATGGACACACGTAGCTGTTACCGCTACGATTACTGACTGACGCATAGCTTTTAGTTTATATCGATTTCTCACCGATTAACTCTAATCACAATGTTTTTCTTATTTTTCACTTAACACTACTTTGGAAAAACAATCAATAACACTTCAAAGTAAAACGTTACGACCGAAGAAACTTAGACGGCCTAGCTTCGTACTTAGTATCGACATCGACAATCGCCATCAATGAGGACCGCTCATGTTGGTAACACTGGTTTATTTACTTCCAGGCATGTAAAGTGAATTAAAACAAAACTTACATATAGAAATAACAAATATAAAGCGGTTTTGTAATACTTACTTCCCAACTATCTTGATTTATTCAATAGTGAAGAGTTCTAAACACATTTAAGCACTGAAAACTTTTGGCGCGAATAGTAAATGTTTTTTCTCGTCTACTCCGAATGTCAAAATTAGGGATGCCAGAAGAAACAGAATATTTCATACCGCCCATTGCTGCCTATTGAAAATGGTATTCATGAAATTTGAGAGAAAGAACTTAGTACTTTTTCAAAATAATAAAATAATATGGATGCGCTAAAAAACTATTATAACTTGAATGGTTGGCTGGTTTGAAGAGGAATGAGATATATTTGTAATAGTCCAGCGCATGGCGCTTTTTGAGTGCCAATTTTGTCGAGAAAGATGGTTTTTGCTGAAATTTTGACAAGTTTTGTGTTTTTATTACTGTAGCTCAAAATTTTCAGCGATATGAATTTTTAAAGTTATTATTATATATATATATAGTTTTATATTAGTATTAAATCAGTACCACCCTTGAGCCCTTTAATCATTGACCTTTATATATATATATATATTTCTCAAATGAAGGGTTTGAGAATTATGAAACTTACATGAACTTATAATCTACAAACTGATTTTTTGTGGAAGGATCTTGTGTGTGTGTATGTGTATATGTGGCGTCTCCCCCCTCACAAACTAAACCCCCCAAAAAAAATACAAGGATTTAACATTGTATTTATTTAATTTTTACTTTTTCTTGTAAGGGGTATCTAGTTTTTAAGAGATGAAAATTTGCAACTAATGTTTTTGAGAAAATGAACTAAAAAAATCATATTTTGTTTTAATGAAGCATTATTGTATAAAGGTTTTTTGAATTCGGCTTTATTCGTCGCTTAGGTTTTTGCAGATATGATGAGAAGATTTTATAAGCTATTAAAAGAAATATATTATAATGCAATTAAAATATTTTTACACTATTTACATACAAGCATCAAAAAATTCCTCCACATCATCGCCTACTGGTAACATTATCAAAAGATTATGGGTATGAACTAATTATAACAATTTTCTTTTCTTTTCTTTTCTATGCGATTTAAAAATACTAATTATCTATAGTTACCTATTCACGAACAGATTCTGCTAGAGTAAAAAAAAAAAAAAAGTACTGAACGTAAGTAAAGTACTGAAGCAAAAAAAAACGCGTTGACTTAGCTGGATTTAAAGTAAGAGTTTGTTTGTTTTTTTTCTTGAACGCGCTCATCTCAGGAACTACTGGTCCGATTAGAAAAATTATTTTAGTGTTGTGCTATATATACGCTACGACCAATAGGAGCGGAGTACCAATGAAGAATGTTTCAAAATCGGGGTTGTTTCCTTTTGAGCTTCGATGCGTAAACGGAAATAGCTCCTTAACGTACGTTTTATTTAAAAATATTTTTACCTTCTAAGTAAACGAAGTCGCGGGTTAGAGTTAGCGTTAGTCCACGCGGACGAAGTGCGGGCAGAGTTTTGGCTGAGGTAAAGTTTTGCTAGTGGCCAGATTTGTGTCTCTTTATAAGCCACATATATTTCCTATAATTTTGCCACACAAAATTTTGATACATTTTCTCAAAAACGAAATTAGCTTCAGGTTTCCAAACTAGAAACTGATAGTACTGAACTGCATCCTGTATTTATTCCTAAAGCCCTACAAAATGTAATTTTCTCGAAGAACACACTAAACAGGTTTATTAGTTTACTAGTGTTTGCCCTACGGCTTTGCCCACTTGGAACTATACACTGTACAAAATCTTGGTCAGGGCGTTATATAGTCATATCGATCATGAGCGAGTTCATACTTCAACTCGCCTCTGGCCGATTTTCTGTATCCACAACCTTTTTTGAGCGACAGCAGTCGCCAGAGGTGGATTGCGATTGCGCAGGGCAACTTTTTTACTACTCATTTTATTACTAGACTACTGACCCGCCCGGCTTCGCACGGGTGCAATGTAGATACTAATGTGGTGTCAATTTTTAATTGTCAAGTAATTAATTATATTATTATTGTGATTAGACTACTACACTACACCAAAAATTGAGCTAGGAATCAGTAAAGGAGCTCTATAAACTCACAAAGATCCCAAATGGTGGAACAACCACACCAAAGAGAGGCAAAAAAGGCCTGTTTAAAATCTGGCAGGATACTGGCTTCAATGATGATAGAGAAAATTACAAACTAGCAATAAAAGCTGAAAGACAAGTAGTAACAATTGAAAAGGTAAGGGCAGATGCGGATCTATACCACCGTTCAGAGGTAGGCACAGACTGCGATATATGCAAAATAGCTTAACTTAGACATATGTAAACAGCAAAGACTTACGTAACAATATACATAAAAACGGAGAAGGCACTCTACTTACCGACGACAATCTGTAATGGGTGGTGCGAGTATTATAAGAAACTGTTAAACGAGGAGTTTCCTAGGCAAGAACAAGCCGAAGAGCCAAGAACACAAGGACCTGTCAATGAAATACCTGTTACAGAGATAAGAAGGCCATCGCTAAATTGAAAAACTCTGGCAACTTCTTGGAGAAGACGGAGCGATCTGGCTCTCAGGGCTATTTAACAATATTTTAGCTAGCGAACGAGTGCTGGATGCTTGGAGGAAACGCATCTGTCCCGTTCTATAAGAAATTTCTGTGGAATAAAACTTACATTACACACCTTTAAGATCTGGGAACGAGTTCTAAGTGAACGCCTTCAAAATTTTGTAAAATTAACAGAGAATCAGTGATGCTTTACTGCTGGAAAAAGAATCACAGATGCAATCGACGCCATAAGGTTTTGGAGAAAGCTCATGTAAAGAAATAAACCTAGTGGACGACTTTATCGATCTAAAGAAAGCTTTTGACCGGGTGCTGAGAACTCTAATATGGCAAGCCCTAAGATCGCAAAATGTCCCAGACCTGTACATAAAAATTATAATGGACATGTACAACAGTGCACAAACACATGTGTGAGAAGTCCAGCCGGGTTGTCAGCGAGCTTTGATATTAAAGTCGGTGTTCATAAAGGAAGCGCTCTTAGCCCGTTGCTTTTCAACATCACCATAAACTACCTGACGAAAGAAATCCAGGAACCTGTACCGTGGAATCTATTATATTATAGGCGGATGACGTGGCTCTGATGTCGGGCAATGCAACTGAAATGCAAGAACATCTAGAACGATGGAGAGAAGCTCTAGAGTCAAATAGACTGCGCATTAGTAGAACTAAGTCCGAGTACATGGTGTGTAGTTTCGACCCGGACGAATCTGGCGTGGCAGGCGCAAACCACACACTTGACGGCACTAACCTTACGAGAGTAAACAAATTCAAATACTTGGGTTCTATCATCTCAAATGATGGTTCAATAGATGGGGATATAACAAACAGGACGACGTCTGGTTGCAATAAATGGCGTGAACTTACAGGAGTCCTGTGCGACCCAAAAATGCCTGTAAGAACCAAAGGCAAAGTTAACAAAACTGTCCTGAGACCAGTTCTACTCTACGGTAGTGAAACGTGGGCCACAAAAAGAATGCAGATACAGAGGCTGCATACCACAGACATGCGTATGCTGCGCTGGGCGGGTGAAGTTACTTTCAAGGACAAAGTTCGTAACGAGCACATAAGAGGCAGTTTTAAGTTGCGCCTATAACTGAAAAACTTGTGGAGACCAGACTTAGATGGTACGGACATTTATTGCGAAGACCCGATTGTGAAAAAGTGCCTCTCCATGGCTACACAGAGGAGAGGGAGAGGCAGACTGCAAACCTAGAAGACAAATGTCAAAAGAGACATGAGGTAGTTAGGCCTGTCCACTGACGATGCACACCAGTCGACCCCGCGTTACAGGAAGGGGCCTGGCAAAGAAGAAGTTTAGACTATACTACAGGATATCTTAATATTCAGTTATTATGGCGATATATTCGCGACGGCCTCTGGCCGCGCAATTGAAATCCTTCTAAGATATTCATTTTAATGATATGCTGTAGAGGGCAATTTCAATCTACGTTAAATGCACAACTTATCCAACGTATTTAATTAAATAAAAAATATTACTATATTGTTAGATATAAAAGATAAAAATGTTTACTGTAACTGTATCCTTAAGATATAGTCCTAAACTAAATCGATTTTTTTTGTAGATCTTTTTACGAGAAACAATGCCGTAATAATTTGTAGTAGTAAATGTAATCGCACAAATATATTTTTTCACGTCATCACTACAGATCTGAAATTCTCGAATTTTCTTTTTCTTCGTCTCTTTATTAATTTTTCATTTCTCTTAATTTTCTTTTGACAGTAGCACTTTTTTAGCCAAACAATAAGTGTGTACAGTACAATTCCAAATAGGTCACGAAATTGTCATATCTATCAATCGGTTTATCAGTCACTAGTAGTTGCTCATCGCTAGTCGCCAGCACGCTGCACTGATTTTCGTAGCTGGAAGTCGCCGCGACCAAAGTCGCGCGACATGGCATCACAGTGCCTTAGGCAAATCAGTTCTCGAAAAATAGTTTTTGCAACAGTGTGTGTTACCCCAGCAAATAATGTCGAAAATGGTCATTTAAACGTTATAGATAATTAGTTGCCCCCCTTCTGTAATTGTTAGGCACATTTTTAAATTTGTTTCACTTATTTTTTTTTGTTATTTCAAAAAAACATTTCCTGCTGGTGTAACGTTTGAAACGTTACCGTAGCCAGACCTTTTCTTTTTTAATTGGAATATTGAAATAAATTTTAGCTAAATAATTAGTTATCTGGACGAGGTAAATGTTACAACTTATTTGGTATTTGTATTTTCTTCGGCTGCGAAGTTATTCGAGATCCTGCTGGAGTAACATTTGTGCGTTTGCTGGATCTCTGAAACGGGTAAGCGGATTGTAACCATCTTTTGTACATAACTTCTTAAGGATTAGTTTTAATTTGTTCAACAATAAAATATTAAAAATAATGGACCGTTTTAAAATTATTTAAGTAAGTATGAAAACACTTCAATACGTCCTAACACTTTGAATAAGACCTCTGAAGACTTACTTTAAACGTTATTATATTGCTTGTAACTACCTTCAAATGACTATAAGAGACTAAAAAGTTATGATGAAATGTAGCTCTCCACGTTCACGATCACTATGTGTGCGGCCTTTTTTGGCCACCGATAAACCTGTGTTATGCCAATTAGTAGTTGTTTAGTTCATTTGTCTACCTGTAAAATTTCAGCGTCGTCCACATAATAATTTACGAGATAATTAAATAAAAGTCATTAGAAGGTGCAAGACCGTGGTAACCCGACCGTGTTTAGGTGGTTACAAAAAAGCAATCATCCAGTACATTGTGCTGGCTTTTAAAATATGTAGGATATTATTTGCAAGTTTACTACGTATATGTACATAAGTGTTACAAAAAACTACATGTTTTTTAAATAATTTTTATTTAGGATTGTTTATTGCATAATTAGTAGTTAGCCGGGAGATTAGGTATTGTTTTGAATGTTTTTGTTTTCTCGTAATGTTTTGTTGAATTGTTTATAGTTGTTCATAGAATTGGTACCTGTGTAGTATTTGTTAATTGAAGTTTAATTTTAGGGTAGGTATAGGTACCTACCCTAAAATTAAACTTCAAAAATAATATATATAAAATTAACTTAAAAGCACAATGTACTGGATGATCGCTTTTTTGTAACCACCTAAACACGGTCGGGTTACCACGGACTTGCACCTTCTAATGACTTTTATTTAATTATCTCGTAAATTATTATGTGTACGACGCTGAAATTTTACAGGTAGACAACTTAAATTTTAGGTCCAGATAACTAATTATTTAGAATCAGAATCAGAATCATTTATTTGTAAACATAGGTCAAATTACAATAGAGTGTGAGATGTCATGGATAGGCAAGTCCTCTATGTTTTGCCCAGGGGCGTACAAATATACACATTTTTACACATAAAGCTAAATTAGCACATTAGCTAAAATTTATTTCAATATTCCAATTAAAAAAGAAAAGGTCTGGCTGCGGTAACGTTTGAAACGTTACCCCAGCAGGCAATGTTTTTTTGAAAAAACTAAAAAAAAATAAGTGAAACAAATTTAAAAATGTGCCTAACAATTACAGAAGGGGGCAAATAATTATGTATAAAGTTTAAATGACCATTTTCGACATTATTTTGCTGGGGTAACGCACACGTGGCAACAAGGTCATTATTTTAACGATACCAAACGCAAAGTGACGAGAAGAAAGAATAGTGATAACATTAATATTGAATTAAGAGATTTTAAATTGTCGTTTATATACCATTTATTAAGATTTTTTTAATGCTATACGAATAGATTTATTGTTGTTTTATTTATTTATTTACACATCATGCACATTTGGTCAATTACAGCAAAAAGTAAAACATGAATTTTTTTTTTAATGTTTAATTTGTACTGCAAAAATGTTATACTTTGTCGGTCTCGGGGCACCGTGGGCACGCTCTAGTATGTGGCTATAGTCCACCGTGATGTTCAGTCTAGCAAAAATATTTCCACTATAAACTCCAATCTCAAAAAATATGTTTGAGCGACGATGCTTTGCCGAACTTAGAATATCTTTTAATTTTGTAACAATAGACCAATATATATCTATTTCAAAATTTTAAACCTATTTTTTTTTCGTTTCTACTAGTTTTCAAAAGTTCTATTAATTATAAGCAAAAGGCTAAGGAAAAGAAATATGCCCTTACTATATTTTGCTTCTGTCTACTGAAAACATATTTTTTTAGTTTGTAACACATACAGAAAGTAGTGTAAAAATTATAATTACAGAATTACTAATACAAAAATGTTATGCTTTGTCGGTCTCGGGGCACCGTGGGCACGCTCTAGTATGTGGCTATAGTCCACCGTGGTGTTCAGTCTAGCAACAATATTTCCACTATAAACTCCAATCTCAAAAAATATGTTTGAGCGACGATGCTTTGCCGAACTTAGAATATCTTTTAATTTTGTAACAATAGACCAACATATTTCTATTTCAAAATTTTAGAACTAATTTTTTTTAGTTTCTACTAGTTTTCAAAAGTTCTATTAATTATAAGCAAAAGGCTAAGGAAAATAAATATGCCCTTACTATATTTTGCTTCTATCTACTGAAAACATATTTTTTTAGTTTGTAACACATACAGAAAGTACTGTAAAAATTATAATTACAGAATTACTACTAATAAAAACGAGTGGGAGTAGATGTCGACTTCCAAAACGAAATTCTATAAAAGCCTTTAAATTTTAAGGTATAGTAAAAAAACTTAAGTCTAGTATCAGTATATTTCATTTATTTGCCTTTAAGTTAAATATGATCTTAACTACTGTGTCCTCAACATCAAGGATTAGTTGCTATGGTGATAAATAGATAAAGATACGAATACTAAGACTTACCAAAAGAACAAAGAGCCGACATTAAACGGAGGAACTAAACATTTCACCCAAAAAGTTTAACACTATATTCGCAACCTACGAAAGTATTAGTAAATTGTCATTACAATAGGTACTGTTCCTTTCAACAAAATTATGTAATAACATCTAAAACAAGGGGCGGTTTTTAATTAAAATAACCTTGAACCTGTCACAAAATAATATGGATTAAATAGTGTAATTAATATATTTTTTAAATAAAAATATTGGCGACCGTATGAAGGTTTTTATTTTATTTTAATTAAAATATGAAAATACTTAGTAGTTACTTATTTCATTGTATTGAAAGAAAAAAAATAGCTATGTGTGATATGGTTCTATGGGGATATAGGTGTTATCTATTAAAAGATGCCGAGGTAGTCAGTTATTTTCTAGTTTTCTTCTTTATTAATAACACATAGCGCAAGGTCACACTTATTGAGTGGGGGCAAACAATCAAAAATTACTTAACCAAATCAGTCGTTATATTATAATAATTAGGTACTAACGGTACTGAACCTCCCCTCCCCCCACAATCATAATAATGTAATTTAAGAAGGTTGTTAAGAACTGGTTCAAAAACATGCGCAGATAGGTTAAGATGGTTTTAGGCATAATTATGCGTATTTAAAAGAGATAGTGAACATGTATGATACATAGTGAACATATATGATGCACATTTATGTAAATAAACCACTTTAATACCAAATATTTATCGCTGTTTCAGTTGCATTGTATTGTGGAATGATTTCACATGTGTTTAGCGCTAGAACTATCATACTTTCAACTCTAAAGTACACATACCAATTGATAAAATTTATTTATAACATGTATTAAATATTTTTATGAGTTTTGATTTGTGTAATACTCCATTTTATCCAAACTGAAAGCTGAAAGGACTTCCGGGGAAGACACCCGAGCACATATTGAAATTTTGACCACCACGACTGCAGAATGTCTGGAATATCTCATTGGGGTCGATGTCTGTAAAACAAAAAGATATTATAAGTCACTAGTTCATCAAAAAATTAAATAAATTCAATGTACTCATGTAGTGCCGCCGAAACGGCAACAAACAACCCTAAACATCAACCGAATAAACGAAGTTACTCTGATCAATAATTTAAACACCGCCTATAAAAAGGTGGCTCTATTCACAATCGCACGTAGGGTAACATAGTTTAGGGTTTTTCTACCTTTGCGCTTTTATTTTCATACCTTAATAATTATTGTTGATTTTATTGGACTCAAGAAGTTTCTTTACTTGCATTATTGCCATTCAATTGACATTCCCCTCATCACAATTGCAAAAAAGTTTGAGAGACCACCCCATTTTTTTTCAAACACGTTTATTGATTGATTTTGTTTAGTTTGGAAAATAGTCCAAATGACTTATTTAGGTGATTACTAGAATATACATGCCTGCCATGCTAGATCCGTCATCATTAAGATCTTGTCCGTGGTCGTACCGGACACGTTTCTTCGGGTCACTGAGAACGCCATAAGCCTCGCCCACTTCTTTGAAACGTCGTTCTTGTTCGCGGCGTTCGATATCTGGTGCGCCCGCGTGCCTGTCCGGATGGTGCACCAAAGCCCGCTTTCTATGAAGATTTTTTTTTTTGTGACAGGTGTTAGATATTATATGTTAGGTCTTTACCTATGAAATTGCCTTTCTTCAGTACTGGTCATTTCAAATAAAAAAAAGTTTGTAATGGCTCTGTATTCTAAATTCAAATTAATTTTGTTTTAAAACCATGACATTCTATTTACAAACTCAGTCTTTTGTTTTTTGATTAGCGTTGTATTTTCATTACATTTGAACATTTTTCGTCATTACTTTAAAAAATCGTATAATTATGGAATATGAGTTCCGTCGTGGGACCAACGCGACACAAACGGCACGTAACATCAAAAACGTTTACGGAGAGAACTGTACAAACGAACGCACAACCCGTTATTGGTTTTCCCGGTTCCATTCTGGAAATTTGAAAAATGAAGCTCGTGGTCGCCCGGAGACTTTGGTTAACAATAATGAATTAAAGGCGATTGTGGAGAAGCTGACGAAACTCAATCTACAGCTGAGCTAGCAGCAGCTTTTAATGTAAGCATCAAAACAATATTGATCCATTTGCGACAAATTGGCAAGGTAAAAAAGCTTGATAGATGGGTGCCCCATGACCTTAACGATCGCCAGCGCAACGTACGCGTCGAGACCTGCCTTGCGCTGCTCAACAGGCAAAGAAATGAAGGAATTTTGAAACGAATTGTTACGTGCGACGAAAAATGGACTCTGTTCGACAATCGAAAGCGCTCAGCAAGTTGGTTAGACCCTGGTTCAGCACCAAAGCAATGCCCTAAACCAAAAATGACCCCTAAAAAGGTGATGGTCACTGTTTGGTGGTCTAGTGCGGGTGTGATTCACCACAGCTTTTTACAAAACGGCATGAGCATTAATGCAGATGTGTACTGTGAAGAACTGGAGAGAATGATGGAGAAGCTTGCACATCTGCAACCAGCTTTGGTCAATCGGTCGTCCCCACTGCTCCTTCACGACAACGCGCGACCCCATACTGCGCAACAGACAGTCTCCAAGCTGCAAGAGCTGGTGTTGCAAGCTCTCCCTTGCACCTACCGACTATTACTTTTTCCAAAATTTAGACAACTTTTTAGTGGGTAAAAAATTCAATTCCCGAGAGGCAGTACAAAATGCCTTTGAAGAGTTTGTTGCCTCCCGTCCAGCTGATTTTTACAAGAAGGCATCATCAATAAACTGCCAATGCGTTGGCAAAGATGCGTCGATTGCATGGGTGATTACTTCGAATAACAGAAATAAAAAAGTTTGAAAAAATAAGTACTTTCACTTATTGCATACAAAACGGCAATTTCATAGGTAAAGACCTATTAGATACAGATATATTATTTTGTCAGAATTTGTAAAATAAAAAGGCCAATAAAAATAATAATGAAAACTTCACACATCTCACACACGGCAGTCTCATCCCAAACTAGGTAAAGCCTGTGTTATGTCAACCAGACTCCTGATAAACATTATTATATATTTCTAAATACATACATTTTAAAGATAATTTTCACCTAAACCGAACAAATGATCATGTTCACTACTAACTTTATATAACTGCTAAGGTACGCAATTTTATGTCACCTCAAATTATTTGGGCTCGACAGTGACGACTATATAAGTATTTTTAATCATGCTGTATGTTCTATTTTTATTTTTCTACCCTGCACATTTACCATATCAAGAGGAAAATTGAGTTAGGTTTCTTTTACATTCATTTTTATTCGGGCACGCCGTTATTGCGGTGAGAAGACCTGTTATGGATGATTGGCTTGTGAAGCAACACAGGATCTTCTCATAACGGCTGACGCAGGTGATCACCGAGAAAGGATGCTTCGGAGATCACCTGTGTCTGATCCGCAAGGAGCCAACGCCTGAGTGTTATCACTACGAAGGCCGGACCGTGGACACGGCGTTCCACACGCCGGTTTGGGTGAAGCAGAGGCGCGACCACGTGGCGGCTATCAGAGTGATTGTGGCCATGATACGAAGTGAGAGCTCGTGGAATGCTTCGCCGTCTGCTTCTGCGAGCAAGATATACTTGCGAATGAGATGGCGGAGCGGGACCGGGAGAGGTTTAGAACTCTCGCCAGACCCGGGTACGGGCCTGGTACCGTTGACCATCTATCACCCTGGCAGAAGCAGGCCGGGGTGGGTGGCGGCGCGACGTCGGGGTACCAGGGCTTTCCTTTCTAGGGTATATCCGGTTCCCCGGCTACTAGTACCTGAAGATGGCGCGCGGTTTTTAATCAGTCCGAGTCGGACATAACTACTAGTTGGTGGTATTCAAGGGAAGTTTCGCACAGAAAAAAAGTTTCTTATTCATCGATCGAAGCGAGATCTTCGTATTAAGCGCGGAAAATTTGAAGTTTGTATGTATTGTGTATTTATTCGATAACAAAGAGCATTGTTGGTTGGATTTTTTTTAAGATCGTATAATTATGAACCAAATCGGTCAATCGGTTGGTTGTCGATGTTGTAACACTTAAAATTTAATAGAAATTATAAATTATTGTTGTTGATTTAAAATTGATTTTCTAAATGCTAATATAGTTGGGTGTTTTTTTTTATTATGCCTCATAAGTACAGGATTACCGGGTAAGTCGACCTAAATACTTCAAGGGGTTGTAGTTGCCATCATTTCTGATAGATTTCACTATGAAATACTATTTCCCAAAAATAACCATTTTCAAGATATTGGACTTTAAGGCAATTTTATAAAAATCGCCGAAATTTTGCATAATACATTTTTTTTTAGAACTTATATCCCTTTATTTTACGCTTTTTTAACTGTATTCATAACAAAAACTTAGATGAATTACCGGGAATGTTAAGAATTAGCGTACAACCCGGTAGTATCTAGTTGAAAACTTTCTTATATTTTTGGACTGTTTCTGATCTTAACACCCCTGATTTTCTATGAATTCTGATACTTTTCTAGACTATTATACCTTGTTAGATAGGTGAGAATACGTACATGATTTTTATTTTATCTGTAGTTTAACTGCCATAGATTTTTTATAATATTTGTTACAAAAAACATATTTTTTTTTAATTTATTTATTTTTTCTATTATTAACCATCTACTTCGGCACAGTTTGTTAAGGTAACTACAATTTTAGTAATTGAAATTATAAAACAATTTATCAACTACACAAAAACAAGGATAAAGTTCTCAAAAATTGTATTAGGCAAAATTTCGGCGATTTTTATAAAAAATCTTAAAAGTCCAATATCTTGAAAATTGATAGTTTTGGGATGTGGTATTTCATAGTGAAATCTATCAGAAATGATGGCAACTACAACCTCTTGAAGTATTTAGGTCGACTTACCCTCTAACCCTGTATACATACAGAGTAGAAATTAGAGCATGATTTTTTATCGATATAGTGATGCAATACTTTTTTATCGCTAGTTATGTCTCATTAGTCTCATCTCTAATATTAGTACCATGGAACTTCACACTGTTACCAGCGCCTAAAATGGCAAAAATCAAAGGGCTTCAACTTGATAACAACATAATGATACATGTATAATAAAGTTAAGTATCATCACACAATTATTTGTCCTGCCTGCTGTCCTGCGGCTTAGCAATGAGGGTCACTAGACTTGACTAGACCAACAGGCTAGTTATATGGAGTAACTTTTTTATGTAATTATACTATTTATTACCTTTTGAAGACATTGTGATAATGTTTGTGTAATTTAATGCAATAAAGCAGTTACGTTCTATTCTACGAAAGATAAGAATAAATATTTATTATATTATAATCGATTTATATTATGTAAAAAAAAATGTGCAATGTATTTTGTTTTAAGAATGTTAATGTTGTACTGCAAACTTAAAAACGCATCTACAAATATATAAATATTCAACCAGTCAACCCTAACAAATATATGAAAAAATAATGTTATTAATCTTACCTATAAGCTTTCTTAATTTCATCTTCAGATGCACTTTTATCAATGCCAAGAATTTTATAATAATCCTTGCGCTTAGATTTTTTTAATGCTAGTTTAGCTTGATGTAATAGTTGTTTGTTTTCTTTGCTTTTATCGATTTTGTATAGTTTTTCGTAATCTTTGACAGCTTCCTCAAATTCACATAGTTCAGAGTAACATTTAGCACGTCTTAGAAGAGCCTTTACATAGTTTTCGTCAAGTTCCAGGGCAGCAGTACAAGCTTCGACAGCTTCTTTGATCTGATTCAATTTGGCGCAGACAGTCGCTTTGTTGTAATAGAGCTTGGCATTAACAATTTTATTGTTTGGGTCAATAGTCAATGCTTCGTTATACAAGCTCAGGGCTTGTTGCCATCTGCCCATTTTGAATGCTTCATTACCTGCAATATACAGTCTAAATCTGATAAATTTAAACAAAAAACTCGTGTGTAGAATTCACATAAATATGTATATTTTCTGCATCTCGTTTGTATTAGGAAAAAGTTTTGCGTTTTAAGGTTATTGTAGTATTTTTTACAAAAAAAATCCTGAGCGTTAGCTACGCTAGGGATATTTATTTACGGTCACCCAGATACTTATTAGTGAAACTAATAATATATGGAATATCTTGCTCTGTTCTAAATCTTGTACCAGTGTTTTGACTTAAATCAATATGAAATGAAAAAATTCAAAAATTCTCCTAAGAATGAGCTTAAATTTTGACACGATTTATGATCCGTTTTGATCTATTTTTTGGTCAATTTTGTTCGTCATATCAATTCAATCACAATGGGTCACATAGAAGCATGGTAGTATTAGTTACAGCTAGTTTATTCTAAAATAAGTAAATAGTACCTTCTTCTTTCTTTTGTTTAAGTAGTTTAGCTTTTTTATAAGTTTCCATAGCTTTTTTGTGATCAGGGGCAAGACGTAGAACTTGTTGGAAGTGCTTGAAAGCTTGTTCATCTTTATCCTGGAACATGTTTGAAATAAATTTTAAAAGTGCATTGTTATACTTAGGTAGACCAACAAGTCATTTGATCAATACCTATAATGTGAATATTTCACATAGGGTATAACTTACCTCAAAGTATAGGCACAGACCACGCACATAAATAGCCTCTGTATCAAAACTATCAAAGCGTAAAGAATCATTTGCTATTTCCTGAGCTTCTTGACAACGTCCAAGCATAGCCAAACATTCAGCTTTTGTAAGTTTTGCTCTGAAATACAAATATTAGATTACATCTCCATTTTTTGTAAAAATATACCATGATAAACAACTGTGTTTTATAGAAAGTAAAAATGAAAAACCAATTGATATATATTTTACTACTTATATATTTTGATACATCTAAAATAAGTTAATTGGAATTATTCAATAATCACGTAATAAATTTCCTAATTTATTTTGTTACTATCTTCTCCTTATACTTTGTTATACTTTATGAGTATTTCAGAGAACATGTAAAAATTAAACATAAATAAAGTCAGTTTAAAATTCTACGCCACGCCATTTTTGCGGCGGTACGACCCATTAGGAGAATTGGCTCGAGAGGCATCACGGGACCCTCTCATACCGGCTGACGCAGGTGATCACTGGCAAAGGATGCTTTGGAGATCACCTGTGTCTGATCCGCAAGGAGCCAACGCCTGAGTGCCACCACTGTGGTGGGAGTTCTCTTGCTCAGTGACATGATAGCGGCCATGGTGCGCCGTCTCTTTCAGCGATCAAGTTATGCTTGCGAAGGAAATAGCGGAGCGGGACCGGATCGTCCTCCATAAGCGCAGGCCTGGGGAAGACGGGTGAGGCCATCTGTCACCCTAGCAGGAGCAGGCCGGGGTGGCGTGGAGACGCGCTGCGGAGCGCCCTTTTGGGAGCACAAAGGAAACATTTTTCGTTCCCACACAGGAAGGGGTCATCTACCCGCCGTAGATGGCCCGAGGTAGGTCGGGGTACCAGGGATTTCCTTACCTGGTTCCCTGGCTACTGGTACCCGGGTTAAAAACCGGTCGGTTCGAGTCCGACATAGGCACCGATACCACCCGTATCCGAGGAGATTTCCTCACAGCAAAAAAAATGTTTAAAATTCTACCTGTCTATTAATTAAGTCATTTCTGAAAACGTCATTTTCCCCAACAAGAAGATCTAAATTAGAATATCATGATGTAAGGACAATGCAAGTACATAAACTTTTCTAACCACTGGATGTGGTAATGTAGAAAAAAGTTCGGTTGATAACAATGTCAAGTTTCATTTTGTAGATAATTTTAAAAGAAAGTATAGAATGCAGTAGTAAAAAAATCAGTTAGTATGGAATTGGCTGTTTATTTTAAAAAGTTAGACTGATGACTTTTAAGATCATTGCCAATTGGATAGCTGAATATGTTCATCATCATCATCATCATCAACAGTCAATACTTGTCCACTGCTGGACATAGGCCTCTTCTTAGGGTTTGGCCTACTATACCAATAGGGGTGATGACATTCCGTATTCTTAATCCGTCACCACTTGAAACGCCGAATATGTTACTTACTTACTACTACGTTACTCTTATTTAATGCATTATAGCAAAATACAAACACAATGATCATTTTGGAAATGTTTTTAGGTTGGTTTGATAAGTTTTTGATAAGAAACTAACTAGTGACCGACCAAATTTTCCGTTTTCTGTTCCGGCCAAAAAATCTAGTTTCGGTTTCGGCCAATGCAATCAAATGTACAAAGAATGCTTAGTTATTTTTTTATAAAAAATAAATATACATATATTACAATAACGTACATAAATTACAGTAACGGTGTGGTGACGGATTAAGAATACAGAGTGTCACCACCCCTATTCATCCCGTGGGTGTCGTAAGAGGCGACTAAGGGAGAAAACTACGCAGGACAACAACACTGCAGAGAGAAGGAAAACTTGAAACAAACCCTATACCAACCCGTCTGGCCAGCGTGGTATAGTAGGCCAAAACCTCCTTTCTAAGGGGAGGCCTATGTCCAGCAGTGGATTATTAAAGGCTGTTGATGATGATGACAATAATAAAAACGATACATGTTGCGTAGACTTTCTGGTGTATGTATTTTTACTTACGCAGCTGATATAGAAAATTTATTATTTAAAACTTACATGCGTACAAAGAATCACTCTTTATATTTGTAGGTTCTATTTAAGACATAGTGAATAACAACTAATATTATAAAGGTAAAGATTTGTTAATTAAGAGATTTGTTAAGAATTACTAGTTTAAATTGAAAAATTATTTTAGTGTTGAGATAGCCCATTTATTGTAGAAAGCCAAAAGCTAAACATCACACTACGACAAATAGAAATAGAACATTAATGAAAAATGTCTTTTAAGTAAAGTGGACAGGTCAGCTAGCACAGAATAATTTGATATCTTTTATCAAAGAAATCTTGTTTTAAAACTTACAGAGTAGTGTTAAGAGTGTTGATGATGATACATGAAATAATATTTTAAAGTTCAATCAATCTATACATACAAATAAATAAAATTGAAATGTCTGTTTGTAATTTCAAAATAATAGGTTTTTTCATGCTCACACGGTTATTTGCATGATACCTATGCCTAAGAACCAGTTTAAATTTTTTTGTCTGCTGTCTGAATTGATTTTGATCATTTCTTTTTTTGAATGAAGTCGTGGGTACCAGCTAGTCAATAATAAATATGATATTTTAAGATTAGGTTAGACTTTCTGATTACAATTTAGATAGGGTTTACAATTATATATCATAATTTATTTCCTGCATCTATAACTAATTCTGTCCTAGTTACACACTGTATAAAAGTTGATACTCACTTAGTGCAGGAAGGGCTATAGTCAAGACAACGGTCCATGCAGAAGACCACGCGGCGGTAGTCAGCGGCCTCCATAGCACGCTGCCCTTCTTCATGTAGTTTGCGGAGAGCTTCAAGTGCGCGACGCTCGCTAGCTGCACACTCTGCACCGCCTAATTCTGTAGCACGGCGCACAGCTTGCTCAACTCCTGCCAGATCACCTAATCAAACGAAATTATTTTCTATATCCATATATATAGGAGCCTCTGTCCAACAGTGGACTGCGATAGGCTGATGATGATGATAAAATATATATGTATCATAATTTTTATATCAATTTCCATGTGGACGAAGTCATGGGTATCAATTAGTCTATCTTTCGATTATGATATTTTGTGATGTTTTCAAAGAATCTCTACATAACTATATTATTCCATTTGTATAATCAATTTAGAGCATACTTAATTTTAGATATATTTAAAGTGCATATTATTTTTCAAAGGTATTAACAGCTGTTCACAAATTAATTCAGTTTTTGTTACTTGTTTGCTTAAGAAATACAAGGTTTTATATTGTTATGTTCTACGAAACAAGCATCAAAAATATATTGTTTAAATTATTTAAATTCACATGTAGACACTGAAGTATTTGTGTTTGAGGAAATACTTTACAACTGATTACAGTATTTTGCTAATATATTTTAATTAAATAATAAAGCACCCTACCTAAAGCAATACAGCATTTTGCCATTCGAATATAGCCTTTTGTGAAGGTGGAATCCAAAGACACAGCTTTCTGAGCATCTTCTAAGGCTTTCTTGTACATGCCTAACATCATGTAGCAGGCAGATCTGTTTCCATAGTATGCTGCATTGTCTGGGCACAACTGTATAGCTTCATCATACATAGTTAGGGCACCCTTGTAGTTTTTGAATTTGTACAAATGATTACCACTTTCTTTTTTTTCTTCAGCCAACCTAAACAAATTAATACATAAATTAAACGACGATGTTCCATAATTATAGTAAAAACCGTCAGGTGTGATTATTTTGATATGTACCTAAACTCCATGAATCACAGAAGAGAAAAAAAAAATTCCAACTTCTTATCAATGTCGAATAAACTGCGTAACAACATCGGTCTTGAACTTGAATATATGGCAGTACATAACCATACCTGAGAAATATTCTAATGCAAGAACGAGTACCTACAAACTAATTTTTGTACTTTGTATTTTAGGTACTCCTTGCAAAAGTTAGCATTTACGTGTCTGAATAGAATTAAATTAATGAACTACATTGTAACATACAATCAAAACCACAAGTAGGTCAGGATTCCTAAAGTAAGGTGTTAGACAAAAAGAGAAAATCGCAATGACAAATATCTCAAGGTCCACTCAGAAATAATTATGAAATTTTAATGATTTTCGCATTTTATAAAAAGAAAAACAGTAATTTTCTTGTCTTAAATTTTCGTTGGTTTTACCTTTCAGGGCTTTTGGGAACTAAACTGTCGATGGTTAAATCGAGGTCCACCACATCCGAGTCTGCCATTATTATGTTTTCAAAAATTTATAAGTAATCTGCAATAATCCTGGAATTTTTGCCTGTGCCTCTATTTGACTACAAATTCACAAAGAGTTGAGAATGGGTTGCCATGTTAAATTTTTCAACCATAAACTAGGGATGGAATAAAATCACAACCGCAAGTGATAAATCATATTATTAAGAAATCATAGCATCACTCCTGTGACTGTATAAAAAGCGACTGCTACTTAATTATTGCTATTAGCTAGCGCAAGACCCGCGAAAGGTCTAAATTATTTTTTTTATAGGACCGGGCACGTTCCAGCCAGCAGATATTAAAATTTCAAAATAAAAAAAAATTCATTTTATAGATCTCAATTAGCCCTTTCGACCAACGTTAATAAATTTATAAGCCAGTTTTTCGTTTTCCCAGGAAAAATAGAAATATAATTTTCAATTTTCCTCTACTTAAAATACCCATATCTCTTTGAAAAATGATTATTTTTTACTCTACCAAGAGTGAAAAAATTGCCCTTGCGCTAATTTAATTTGCCCGCGTGCTAATTCTTAAAAATATTCAATAATTATTATTGTAAACAATAAAAATACCGTCGTGGCATTTACAAGCCAATTATTTGCGCATTGCGCATGCGCGACAGAATAAAGGTGATACTCATATCATCAACTGCAGATCAGCTGATGCTACACGCACGGAAGGTCTTTAAAAGTTATTATATTACTGTTTCGGGAAGTTTTTCAGTACTATTGGATTCATTATTATGTGCCTTTGGTAGTTTGATGTGTATGTGTAAATTTATAATTAAAATTTTCAAGAATTGAAACAAAGAAATAAACCAAAAAACATAGCTATTTTAATCAATAAATATTTACATTTATTTCTTTTTTAAAATGTATGTATGCTTAAAAAGGCCAATCAACACGTACTATATAATTTTGGAGCACTAAGTGTACATGATTTGTACACTTAAACTACTGACTACTCCCTAGAAATGAGAGTGAAGACACATCAAACTACCAAAGGCACATAATAATGAATCCAATAGTACTGAAAGACTTCCCGAAACAGTAATATAATAACTTTTAAAGACCTTCCGAGATCTATAAAATGAGATTTTTTTTATTTTGAAATTTTAATATCTGCAGGCTGGAACGTGCCCGGTTAAATTAGGTCTAAATCTAAAAAAAAGGTCGTAATCTTTAATAAAAAGAATTTTGATTGATTTTGATGCCATTTATCTTTGTCTATGACGAAATCACAATCACATGTGAAAACGCTGTGACTATATCATTTAAAAGTACCAATAATTTCCATGTCTACCATAAACACACATTATTCAGACAGAATTGCAAACAAAAATTAAAAAATAAATACTATAATAATTTTAGTATCTTTTAGTTTTTTAGTCAACTACTTTATAAAGCTTTTTAAACCCTCACACTTACTATTTGTAGACTACATAGTTATCATGGCACTTAATACAAATTATAGAACTATTCATGTAAATTATGTAGATAAATTTATAGTCAAAATCAAATCGCACAGGTATTTGTAGATTAAATATATTTCGCTCAGCGAAAACATAGGTAATCTCTGTGGTCGATGGTCGCATTATAAAATGCGTCCTTGCACCTCCCTGCCGGCACAAATGTCTTGCCAGAATCTTTGCATGATCTGAAAGAAATGCTTAACAGTCTGAACGATTCTACAAGAAGAGTAGGACTTTAGTTGACTAGTTTATGGTTGAAAAATTTAACATGGCAACCCGTTTTTAACTCGGCGCCCGAGTCGTCTGCGGTACCTGGTCCGTTCTCGGGCCTGGCGGGCCGGGAGAGTTCTAATCCTGTCCCGGTCCCGCTCCACCGTCTTGACGGCGGAGTTCCACGCACTCTCGCTCCGTACCATGGCAGTATAGTAACGTGGATCAGTATGTGTACTTACGGGTGAATATAAATAAAAGTCAATTTACTGTTATAACTATATGATCTGTACACAACACGATATACTATATAAAAGACAGAAGGAGTACAAACAAGAGACACACAATATACACACAACGCGATACGGAATAAACTGTCCATACACAGCACGTTATACTATTTATAGAATACGGTTTTTGAATTTACTTTATAAAAATAAAGATGGAATGTCAACAATAACACGTGAACGCGTAGGCTGTAAGGGGGCCATGGACCAACTAACTTAACGTACTATACGAACGTTCTGGAGCGACCCACATCACTCAACTCTATGATGTAAATATCATAAGTGCCGTGAATGACTTGAGTAATGTTAAGAAGTAATAAATAATTATTTCCAAATCTTAAGTGTTCAGATAAATGTGATAAACGACTGTGAAGCCGGAGGTCGTGGGTTCGATTCCCACTTAGGACGAACGCGAGTATTGTGTGAAATTATTTGTATGATGGTGTAATTGCGTTTATGCTTATGTTGTTTTGTGTGTCTATGATAAATGTTACGTGGCAGGGGTGAGCCCTACAGCGGCAATCATATTAACGAGCGAGAGGACTCCCACCCCGATGACCACGACGAGGTCACGCCTCTGCTCCACCCACACCGGGCATTCTGCCAACGTGTGGAGGGCCGTGTCCACGGTCGAGCCATCGCAGTGGTGGCACTCAGGCATTGGCGCCTTGAGGATCAGACACAGGTGATCTAGGAAACAACCTTTCCCGGTGATCACCTGCGTTAGTCGGTATGAGAGAGTTCCGTGACGTCTTTCAAGCCAATCCTCCATAACGGGTCTTACCGCCGCAATAACGGCGTGCCCGGCGCTCGGTTGCCCAAGTCGTTCCTTCCACTCCTCTACGAGGACCTGGCGGAGCTGGGATTCCTGATTCTCGATTTCTCGAGTCTTAGGACTCAGACCCAACTCCCGCGCCTCCTTGCACCACCGATATAAAGCCGCAAGGGTTCACGCCTCCAAGTCCCACGGTGGAGTTCCGGCCAGGAGACTCACCGCTTCAAATAAGATCGTGCCCCTCACCCTCTGGCATGCAACTTGCAAGTGATAATTGGTATGAGATACACACACAAACATACACGTGGATGTCTGTCTCATCTCATATCTAACAAATAGCTGCGTCCCACGAAAGGCATCCGTCATAGCGGACCATTTCAATTTATAAATTTTTATGTTAGTTCTTAGCAAGTCTATCAAAAATATTCGTTTAATTACTACTGGAATTTTTGTAGAATAAATAAATATTTTTGAATAAGTCCTTAATGCAGTAGCAGATTAAATAAAGGAACATCTATCCTTAACATACAGTAGGAGATACTCACATCGACATTGAACCCTCGCTGGGGTATTTGGGGCTCCTACTGCGTCGGGATCCTGGGACCCAAGGACCAAAAAAAAGTGTCGAAAAGACCAAAAAGCTGTTCTCGGATCGCTCCTATTTCAGGCGCAGTTTACACACAGTAATTGTAGTAGGTTCGCTTCCGATGCACCGACCTTCGCAAACCCCGGTGGGGTGACAGTACGCGTCGGGGTTTCAACACGTAAAAGTATAAAATACAAAGTTTAGTAGACACGCTATTCAAAATTTAGAAACAACTAGTAGTTAGTAATGATATATAATGGGCGAAAGAGAGACACGGAAGGCGCCGATCACATATATGCTTATAGCGCTATTGATACTTAATCCGCCTTTGCCTTTGTGATACGTCTATCATCAAGAACCGAAAATTTATCCATTATTATTTACTCTCCTAAGTCATTAATATAATAATAGCCTAACAACTTCTTTCCAGAAGCGCTGACAAACCCACTAGTGTGAGAAGGACAAAGTAGAAGGAGATTATTAGACGAACGAAGGTTTCTGTTAGGAATTGCATTACGCATGCAAGATGAAATTTTGGTGTTAAAGAGTTGGAGAAGGGAATAGAAATAGGGGATTGATGAATTCATTTTTCTGCGTCTCCGAATAGGCAAACATCTAAGCTGGGAGCAAAGAGATGAGATATGCTCATACTGACGAAGAATAAAGATAAATCGAATGCTGTTATTAAGAAGACGATCTAACCTATTTTTAAGTAGAAAAATGGAAGACGTATTCATTATGTCTCTTTGAAAATAGTAAAATAACTGTCTAAATCAAAGTGGAAATTCAGATCCAACTCTTTTAAATTCTATGATCTGTAAAAATCTCATTTTCTAAAAAGTTTTTTATTTTATCTATTAAAATAGCAGTATAATGTGGAGTGATCATAAATAAAAAAAATATTTCGAGAATGAAATAGTAGTAGTAGTTCAATCTACCATTTAAAAAATCTGGCAACACTGATTTACTTTGTCAATAGCATAGCTTGACAATCCTTAAGAGTTCTTTTATCATTACGAGTCTTGAGCGCGACATCATCTTAGTTCATATCGTGAAAATAATAAGCAATCGGTAACTTCTTTTGAAGAATAGAAGTCTAACTTCTTTCTTCTGAAACATGAGAGCTAAGGTAACTATTTATTTGCGTTGTTAATAGGGAATTATTGATAGTAATATCGCCTTTTATTTGTGTTGAAAAACCACATTTTCAGTGTTGTGTTTTTATGGTTACAGTGGCGTAAGAAGCGTATGCGTAGGCTAAAGCGTAAAAGGAGGAAGATGCGTGCAAGGTCCAAATGAAATGGTAAGTTTACTCTGTATTTTCTTAATTGTTTGTTAATCGAACGTGGGGTGAAATCATATAATCCCTGATTTATCATACCTACTACAGTAGCACATTGTTTTCAATTTAGTCATAATGAAAAACAAAGTGGTGGTTTTTGTTAACTGTAGCGTGTGTTCTACAGATTATAGCCCTGTCTAAATATAATATATCTTCACATAGCTTCATAATACTTTCAATCAATTCAAATAATAAATATTATTATTAACATTTCAGTCCCAAGTTCGAGAAAAGACTACAATATTGCTAGGTTATGTCATGATTATTTACCTACCACCTTCAGGTGAATTTATGAAATTATTACGAGAATTAGCCTTCA